AAGGGGTCTACGGCAGCGAAAAAAAATTTGGGGGTCCATGAAATGAATATGGGGGTCCACGATAGTGGATCTCAACACATACACTGATAGTACCTATTTACTTACATCATACTATCTTATAATATCAAAGCATATACATTATTTATGAAGTAAAAAAATTATTATATATGTTTATAAAATTGTGTAAGTTGTAGGATGTTGGTATTCGCTTTGTGGTTGCAATACATTTTGAACTTGTAAAAACCTCAGAGTCGCAGTCGCAGAGCTTCGCTACCTTGCACTGACTTGTTCAATTCGTCACTCTATAGATACGAATGTGGGACAAATACGTTTATTCGTTTCCTGAATCTTGAAAAGGAAAGTGCTAAGAAAATATTTAAAAAAATATAAACAGATAGTATATCACACAAATTATAGCGAGTCAGTGTTATTTTGTTTGAGAGTGCTGGAGAAAAGTACATTATTTTTTATTAAATTTTAGTTTCGTACTCGTAGTTAGCAAAGATAGATAAATTACGCCAATCATGACTTTAGTTATTAGTAGTTAAATATTCAATCATGCAAAATTACACGAGTACTCCTCAATAGTTTCTTTTTGAAAGTTTTAGCAATCGGTAATATAATTACAGTGCAATCTCCGTAATTCGAGCTAATTGTTGTAAGAAGATGTTCGAATTATGGAATGTTTTCGGAAAAATCAAAAATATTATCGTGGATTTATAAGCTATTTAAAACAAAATGTGTCAGGGGTGTTAGCAATACATTGCGTCATCCATCGAGAACATTTAGTTGCTAAAAATTTGAGTGTTAGATTGCATGAATCACTTCATTTAGTCATTGATGCAGTAAACCGAATCCGAAGCAACGCGTTGAATACGCGGTTATTTGCGTAGTTGTGTGAAGAAAATGACGAAAACTTTCATCAGTTACTCCTTCACACTGAAGTACGCTGGCTGTCGAAAGGCTTATGTTTGACAAGATTTTTTGCACTTTTTGAGACTATTTTAGAATTTCTGGATACTAAAGATAAAATTTTAAAAGAAAATTTAATGAAGAGGAAAACAGACATCGCCTATTTAACAGATTTGTTTACAAAATTTAATATGGTTAATTTGCAATTACAAGGCGACAGCTTAAATTTAATTAAAACAAAGTCCATCTTATCAGCGTGTCTTGCCAGAGTTAAACCTAATGAAGCAAAATATTGGACGGGGCGAATTTTCTCAGTTCCCCAATTTGTCATAGACAAGCTGCCAGGAAGACGACGTTTCAACTTACGTTCAACATTTAAATGCCCTCTATTTAGATTTTGAATCTAGGTTTGAGGATATTTTGACTATGGTAATACCACCGTGGATAATTAATCCATATGCTGACATAGAAGAAACGAATGTCATAATACAAGAGGAACTGACTGAACTAAGTACAAACGAAGAACTTAAGGTTCAGTTTAAAAACGGATATCAGCAATTCTGGCTGCAAAACAACATAACCGTTACTTATCCCGTATTATGGAATATAGCGAGGAAATTTTTAATTTCCTTTCCATCGTCATACCTAGTGGAAAGGGGGTTCAGCGCTGTTACCAATCTCCTAACGAAAAAAAGAAACAGACTGGACATCATTAGCCGAGGAGATTTAAGATTAACCCTTACAAAATTGACGCCAAATGTTGATAATTTATTATTAAAGCATCAGGTTCATCCTTCTCGCTAAAAATATTGACTTATTGCTTATGTTATTTTATTTATAGTTAATTTTATGTTTATTGGTGTCTGACCAATAAATGCCCGCATTGGGATTAAGTGCCCACATTGATTTTTTTAAAGAACCCCCATTTATAGAAAATACTTTTTTTAAATTATTCTGAAAATTCAAGGATAGGTACACACTAAAATTCGTTAATTTTTTGCCTATTTTTAGATAACTTAAACGTATAAGAAGCGGAATTTAATCAAACTAACAGTGAAATTATTGTAGAACATACGTTTATGTTATAATTAATAAACGAACTCGCTTATTGTACTATTTTAAGTAAAAAACTTTTTTTTTATTATTTTTCACTTTTTTTTTATTTTATCCCTCTTATTTTTTTCAATGCGGGCACTTATTCCCAATGCGGGTCAGACACCTGTTTATTTAATGTTACGTATATTTTACATAACAGAAGTTTGGGGAACTCTGGTCTAAACATACTGGTTTTGTCTGTCCGACCACAGACAGTCAACCATGGACAGATGTTTCATGTTTTTTGGCAACTCATTAGAATCGTCTAGGCTTGGCCTCAGGTCAGGACAATGAACTAAGTTATAGCAACTAACCTCTATCTGAAGTGTAAGATCTATCGAAACAAGACAGTGAGCCGTATTCATAATACATACAAAGGATATCCTTGTACGAGTACTTGCAAATTTTGAAGGAAATCCTCCAGATGGTGTTTATAATAATTTGAAGTAAATGCTTTTGCTTTTTGAGTATAAACAAATCCTTCAAAGCACTGACATAAGTAAAAGGATATTCATAATATTCACCTTATACTTGGCATAGGAGGCATATCCTTCACAAATTCTGAGTGTGGTCAGTAGCAGACTCAACTTCGTAACGAAAGGTGGTCAAACGATGCTGGCGGAAATTGTGGACGTTAGGGATGTTAAAACGTACAAGCCTCGGTTACCTTCACTTGGCCGTGACTTCAAAAAATTATATCGGCATACTGTCAGTTTTGAAGATACGTGATACCCGTGCCGGTCACCGATAGATTTTGCTTTCACTGGTCGGGCCACTGATTGACTGTCTTTGATGATCGGGTCACTCACCCACCTTGACTTCACTGGCTGGATCACTGATCGACCTTGACAATGATGCATATGGTCATAGTCATGGTCAAGGATATATGCAACCTTAGATCCGAAAAGTATAGGGCCCGTTTGAAGAAAATCGGGTTAACCTTTAAATGACCTCCAAAGTCCAGGTTATATCCAGACTGAGATTTGTTGCCTTTGGATTTCCGGGGTCAAAAATATAACTGACCTTCGAATGACCTATAAGGTCATTGTCAAGGGCATATCCAAACCTAGAGCTTTCTCTTTTTTCGATTTACGGGGTCAAAAAAAGTATAGGGTCACATTTAAGAAAATCACGTTAACCTTGAAATGACCTCCAAGGTAAAAGTAGTTTTCACGTCCACCATTAGATTTCTTAAGTAGAATCCTACAGCTCTTGTCCCTGTATTTTCTGAGACAGGGTGGGGGTATATTTTTAACACCCTGTATATTTCTATGAGAACCAACCTCGATATATACCAAGTGACATATAAATCCGAACACCCAGTTTTAATGGTTTTATTTTAATAAAATTTTGTATAAGTACTTAATGAAGCATAATAAGTAAGTGATAAAAATTTCAAAATGATTGCACTGCTTTAAAGCCCTTTGACCTTTAATAATGTGTGGATGCACCCTGATGTGCTACGCATTCTCCAACGCGCCTAGGCATGCTTCTGATCAGGTGGTCAATGTCCTCCTGTGGTATCTCATTTCAGGCAACCACCAACTCCTCTCGAAGTGCTTCTAGAGTCTGAGGAGGACGTTGTAAATTGAGCAATCTCCTACCCATCATATCCCACACGTCTTCAATTGGGGATAAGTCGGGAGATCTTGGTGGCCATGGTAACAATGTGACATCATTATGTTGAAAGAAGTCTATTGTGACTCTTGCAACATGTGGCCGGGCATTATCTTGTTGGAAAGTTGGATCTGCCAGGGTGTCAAGATAGGGAAAAGATGGGGTTCTAGAACTTCGTGGATATAACGCTGCGCGTTCATGTTACCTCTGATGAAGATTAAAGGTGACCTGGAACCATAAGCTATAGCACCTCAAACCATAACTCCAACAGTGTGATGAACATGTCTTTCAACAAAAAACTGTGGATTCCTTCTTTCACCACGTCGCCTTCTAACCCTGGCACGACCATCGTGCATCCCTAAACAAAATCGAGACTCGTCACTAAAGACAATATAATGTTCCATTCCTGATCCCAGAGTGACCGTTGTCTGCACCACTCAAGGCGATTACGTCGGTGTTCTCGAGTTAAAGGGAGGACCCAGTGTGGCCGGTATGAAAACAAGCCAAAACTTCTCATTCGTCGGTAAACACTTCGCATGCCAATAGGTCTTCCGTGTTCTGCAAACCATTCATTTGCAATGGACCTGGTAGTGGAGAAACGGTTCCTTAAGGCCAATAATCTTAGGCGGCGATCTTCACGGTATGTTGTTCTAGGGCGGCGTCCAGTGCCCCTTGCTCTTTGCGTACGGCCTTCTCGAAGCCATGCCTGACAACACCTAACCACAGTGTCTACACTTCTTTGCACTCTAACTGCAATTGCCCGAAAAGAAAGTCCAGCTTCCCGAAGTCCCACTATACGGCCCCTATCAAACTCACTAAGTTGACGAAATCGTACAGGTCTCCGTACTCTAGGCATCGTAACCGATCGTAAAGGATGTCAAGAACCAAAATCCGCCAACGTTGATTCTTTACTGCGGCTGAAACATTCATTTTTAGAGCGTTAGTGAATTAAAGAAAAGCAGTATAAAAACCGGAATGTCCAACTGATAAGGCTGAACATTTTTTCACTTGTTATTCACAGTAAGATAAATACATTCACCAACTTTTATTAAAATAAAACCATTTAAAATGGGTGTTCGGATTTATATGTCACTTAGTATATGTCAGGTTGCCAAAGCTACAAAACAAATCTGTACTCCAGAACCAGACTGGTTTAAGTCCATTTTTGTCAAAAATGAGTTTAATATGTTAAGCTAATGATATTGTGAGTTTTGATTTGCTACATGCAGCATCCATCTATCTGTAATAATAAGGAAGTTACGATATTTAACTCATGGCAAGACGCATACAACACAATGCAAGAAAAACTACTTATTTGGATTTAACCTAGTCTGGCTCTGAGGTACAGAAATAAATAAATGAAAAATCACATAATTTTAGCTGGATTTGTATTCCTCCATCTTTATAAAAATAACCACAAATACCCAAAATTTACCTAAGAATCTTTTTTCAATGTCGAAAGTTATAGCGGCCACTTTTACTTGACTATTCCTGTATGTATTTCTGTTCATCACCATTATTAGTGTCGCAATAGCTCTTAAACCTTCGAACATTTTTAAAACATTATGGGATGTTATAGAAGATCTCTTTTTCGCCTTAACCGTGATGAAATAGATCACGTGTGCGATAGCCATCACTAAAAGAAATTTTCAGTCATTAATTAGTTCAATTAATTACAATTGGCTACTTCTGCGAACAAGTTTAAGAGAAAAAGGCAGAAAGCTCCCTACGCTGTTTTGGGTTATAAAAAGATCCCAGCTAGCAGAAGCACGTCACAATGACTTCGAAACTTGGTGATAACACGTTATCTAACGTGATTGTTCCAAATATTGACGTCGAAATGTCGTCCACTGAATGAAGGACATTGCTATAACGTGATTTTGAGGTTACCTTTTTTTAATAATACATCTTTTCATACGTACGATGTTCTTGTTAATTTAGAATAAATCTTTCCGATTCAAGTCAGTGTGCAGAGAAATAGTTATTCCAGCCCTGATCGTCGTTCACTCAAAACAACTCTAAGTTATCTAAAATGACAAACTATTGAGGTGTTGCCAAACGCTGCCGTATGATGTTTAATTTCTCTTTTATATTCCTGCTTTCATTTTATCTGGCAAGCTGTATCGAGTGACAATTGACAGTAAACGACAATCGCGGATCGCTACAATCGACCACTCTACGTTATTCCTTTGTGGTTCTCGCCATTTGCGCCTGGTGCACGCGTCACGTTGCTTCAACTTCCATGTACGGAGTATTCCCAAAACTATAGGAAAATAGGACATTTTGATAACAGTTACAGGCTAACGTGACTTAATTCTCTAGTATGCTCTGTGTAGTACTATGTCAATGTGTGTTACCCCACAGCTCATGGCAACATCGGTTTAGTGTTTCCACCCCTAACGGCATATAAACTGTTATAGCGAGGAATGGGACACCCTGTCGTCTTTCGCCGCTCGCCGATTAGCACCGAGCCAGTGTTACAATTTATAGTCTATGGTGCTCCGTCTGTGTAGTACTACTGATAACACACAGTGTATGATTTCTTGGGGACGCTAAAACTGTTTATTCATTATCAATAAGAAACGCCATCTTCGCGTCTTACAAGTGACGTATTATTGACGTCTTCCATGCGAAGTCATTGGTATGTGACATTTTCACGTTACTTTTACGTCATTCAACTCGTGATTTCATGATCAGTTTGTAACGTCATTTTCACGTGCTTGTGCTATCTGCACTTCAATGCGTCTGTCGTTATATTATAACCATTTCGTATAGGCAAACCAAATGATGAACATACAGTTTACCAGAAAATAATTCGTTCATTCATATAGCAAAAGCGCAGACGTTGAGAAAAAATTGTATTATCTATTTAAAGGTTTTTTCGACAGGAGAAAGCCTTTTTAGCCACCCCCAGGCAGAAAAACTTGACAGTATTACCCTGCCGACCCTTCCTCCTCGAAGTGTGAGATTCTCTAGAAATGGCATACTCACTAAACTCGCTACCAAATATTAGTGAAATATCTGATGCGGTTCTGAAAATATTAATTAATTTCAATTTTTTCCTAAAACTTCAACACCCCGAGTTTTTGTAGGGAAACATTTTTGGATCATAGTTTATAAAGCAAACTAACATTAATTTTTCATGTAGATTCACACCCTTAGATATTCGCGTATCATTAAGGAACACCCTGTATATTTTACTGAAAGAACATCAGACGAATATTTCGAGATTGTTACGGATGAGGCTGTAGCGGAAGCAGAAAAAAATGATATTGAACAAACATTTCCTTTATTGAAGCAAAGAAAGCCGAAGCGTCAGTTTTCATATGAAAGTACAGATGAATCAGTTTTGGATCCTAAGCAAAGATCTAAGATAGTTTTACAATTTTAAACACAACCATGCATTCAGTCTCGACAAACAACGATTGAAGATAGGTATAAACTTTATTATATAAAAATTACTAGAAACTTCATGGAAAATCTAAAAACAAACAAATGGAGGCTTCCATTTAAGAATCTCAAGTGTAACGCAATTTCTTATTTTTGAATCTCCCTGTATTGTACTTGTATACTAAGTGACATATAAATCCGAACACCCAGTTTAAATGGTTTTATTTTAATAAAATTTGGTATAAGTACTTAATGAAGCATAATAAGTAAATGATAAAAATTTCAAAATGATTGCACTGCTTTAAAGCCCTTTGACCTTTAATAATGTGTGGATGCACCCTGATGTGCTACGCATTCTCCAAAGCGCCTAGGCATGCTTCTGATCAGGTGGTCAATGTCCTCCTGTGGTATCTCATTCCAGGCAACCACCAACTCCTCTCGAAGTGCTTCTAGAGTCTGAGGAGGACGTTGCAAATTGAGCAATCTCCTACCCATCATATCCCACACGTGCTCAATTGGGGATAAGTCGGGAGATTTTGGTGGCCATGGTAACAATGTGACATCATTATGTTGAAAGAAGTCTATTGTGACTCTTGCAACATGTGGTCGGGCATTATCTTGTTGGAAAGTTGGATCTGCCAGGGTGTCAAGATAGGGTAAAAGATGGGGTTCTAGAACTTCGTGGATATAACGCCGCGCGTTCATGTTACCTCTGGTGAAGATTAAAGGTGACCTGGAACCATAAGCTATAGCACCCCAAACCATAACTCCAACAGTGTGATGAACATGTCTTTCAACAAAAAACTGTGGATTCCTCCTTTCACCACGTCGCCTTCTAACCCTGGCACGACCATCGTGCATGCCTAAACAAAGTCGAGACTCGTCACTAAAGACAATACTGTTCCATTTCTGAGCCCAGAGTAACCGTTGTCTGCACCACTCAAGGCGATTACGTCGGTGTTCTCGAGTTAAAGGGAGGACCCAGTGTGGCCGGTATGAAAACAAGCCAAAACTTCTCATTCGTCGGTAAACACTTCGCATGCCAATAGGTCTTCCGTGTTCTGCAAACCATTCATTTGCAATGGACCTGGTAGTGGAGAAACGGTCCCTTAAGGCCAATAATCTTAGGCGGCGATCTTCACGGTCTGTTGTTCTACGGCGGCGTCCAGTGCCCCTTGCTCTTTGCGTACGGCCTTCTCAAAGCCATGCCCGACAACACCTAACCACAGTGTCTACACTTCTTTGCGCTCTAACTGCAATTGCCCGAAAAGAAAGTCGAGCTTCCCGAAGTCCCACTATACGGCCCCTATCAAACTCACTAAGTTGACGAAATCGTACAGGTCTCCGTACTCTAGGCATCGTAACCGATCGTAAAGGATGTCAAGAACCAAAATCCGCCAACTTTGATTCTTCACTGCGGCTGAAATATTCATTTTTAGAGCATTAGTGAATTAAAAAAAAGCAGTATAAAAACCGGAATGTCCAACTGATAAGGCTTAAAATTTTTTCACTTGTTATTTACAGTAAGATAAATACATTCTCCAACTTTTATTAAAATAAAACCATTTAAACAGGGTGTACGGATTTATATGTCACTTAGTATATATATATTAAAATACGTCTCCTTAGCAATCAAAATTGACATGTCCGAGCGTGTTTTCCAAAATATACCAGGAGAGTCACAAATAGGTGTGCGACCTCTTCATTGGGCCACCCTGTATAGAGGATACCTTGATGTCACCGTATCGTTAGATCCAGATGGGTATTAATTGGAAAATGCCTTCACCTCTGTGAGTAAATCAATGGCAGCTGTCCACGCAATTAACCAGTGAATCTCGTTTAGTTACCAAGACAAGATGATTATTATGGAAGGAAGATTAGCGCATGAGAAGGGTTAGCATATGTGGTTATTTGGCATGCTCTCTATGCTACTGGAGCTTGTTTACCCTTCGAAAAAGTTGACTTATGACACACTGATATGTCGGAAGCAGGCCAAAACAAGAGAAAAAACAAATTAATAGTCAATAAAATACAAGACCCTGAAGCCACGTTTACATTACTGCATTTTCTATCCTCCCTTTCACCTTCAATATGAACTTGATGTTTATTTGACCTTGTAAAGACAAGGAAACAACCACGATTTTTCTGTACCCCTGAATTTTGTGACTTATCGAGCAACTCGCGCCAGAGCTATTCCAGCATAAACATATGAAAATCAACTTGCCCTGTAAGGATTATGGTCATGACCAACATAACACCTTCCTAGAAGGTGTTTTGATAAAATATTTTCTATAGTAAACTGATTCTCCGAGTTTTTGGTCTGACGACTACAATTGGCACATTCACCCTTTTTGCAAATCAGACAAACTTTATCCGCCTATTTCTCAGAAACGTATCGTATGATTGCTTTGGTCCCATGGAGATTTTTGTTCGGGAACGCAAGAAATATATCAAACTGAATTTTTAAGCAAATCGGCTGGTATCAATTTTACATAAGTTTTGTGCATGGTCCTTCGCTACTCTTACAACAAATAGGCAGTATGGCAGCTAATTTATTCATAGGGTACGGTGACCTTTTCTTATCCTGCACTCTTTGTTAAGTATAAACATTTAACCTGTGGGATACATATTATGTGAAGGAACAAACAAAATATAGGATCATCACCTCTACAGTTTTTCTACTTAACTTAACTTCTACTAAAATCTAGGAAGCAACATAATGCGATAGGGAGCTATCTATGTCTTTTCCTAAGCATCATTTCAATATCCTACCATGGGTTAATATTATCATAGAGTACCTGATTAAGGTACTTTTCGTCTTTAGCATGGCTACACCAAATGGCATGCCTAAGACATGAAGCAACTTGACATAAGTCCTGTAATTAGGACCTTTCTTCACCGAAATTGCACACATCTTTCGACAACTCACTTCCACTTACAAAGGTGTGTGTACACATATGCAGTCGTATAGAATTATTGTCGATTACAATATGCTTAATGGAATACTGCTGTCTGTACATAAATATATTAAATAATAATGTATATGTAACATGATCTTAGATCGTAATCACGTCACCATTATGATACACCAGACTTTCGTATTAATATATCATGAGGTATTTTGTTTGTTCCAGTTCCAAGGCTGTTAAGATTCATAAAATAAAAATTCGGGATATACAGAGTGTCCAAGAAGTCGACGTCAAGCCGAAACCGGGTGATAGGCAAAGTCATAACAGCTATCAGAAAAATATTTAAAAAAATTTTATGTATGTGTTTTGAAAATTATAGGTCTTTGAAAAAAATATAGAAATTTCACACCCTACGGCAGTCTGTCAACTCCTGTTACTACAAATATTAACTTTTTTTGGATTTTATTTTTACAATGTAATGATGAATAATGCATCTTCAAACTGGTGTCTCAACCTTACTGCCAACTTTTCTCTTTCAGGAAAAATTGCCACTTATTTCCCAACCAAGTATTCCAAAGTAAAACTTTGCTCAACTTTAACTGGCTGTACTAGAAAAAAATGTACTACGAGAGTTTGGTAAATAACCTTAAAAGTTGGCGCATTTAATAAGGATTCCAAAATGGTATAACACTTAGAAGATTACTCGTTAACTTATGCACAATTTTTATTTGAAGAAAAACTGATGAAAATTTTTCAAAATTTCCTAATTAAACAGCGATTATGAAAACGCACAAGGACCCTTAAGGATAACTGTTTGCACAACAGTGGGCGTCAAAATGCTGCTGATGATGATTTACCTTTACAGCAAATGCTCAAACTGTTTTCCTTCAGCCGCAATACACGCCCGACATCTTCTTAAAAAAGATCGGGTTATTAAACGAGCGAATCCACGGTTATTAACAAACTCAGCTGCTTTCAATAGTCTTTGCCGTAGCTCAGCTACATTTTGAATCGGCTTGAAATACACTTTTTCTTTTACAGTTCCCCAGTAAAAAAAAATCTAACGGATTCAAATCTGGTGACCGGGCTGGCCACGGTATTGTACCAGACCGCCCTATCCATCTGCCTAGAAAGTTTTGATCGAGATACTCTCTCACTGAGAGTGCATAGTGCGCTGGGCAGCCATCATGCTGAAACCACATGTCCCTGTAAATACTCAGTGGCACGTCCTCCAATAAATTTTCTAAATGATTTTGCAAAAAACCTAAATAAACCTCAGCAGTCAAAGTCTCTAGGAACTGAAACGGACCGATTATTTTACCATATAAAATTCCTGTCCAATGGTTTATCTTGAAGCGATATTGAGATTTATCTTCTCTCATCAAATGTGGGTTTGCTACGTGCCACTCGTGTAAGTTATGCAGGTTCATGTACCCATCTTTCTTAAATGTGGTCTCATCTGACCATAATTTTTTTTCAAAGAACCGTGGATCTTCCCTGTGTCTTTCTAACATTGTGCGACAAAAAGCAACTCGGGGCTCATAATCCCGGCGCAGAAGAGCTTGAACACGCTGTACGTGGTATGGATGGAGCACGTTTTTTTGCAAGATGCTATGGGCTGTACTTTTGGGCACACCTGTTTTTAGTTCTATTGCACGCGCTGAAGTACTCGGGTCTTCTTCGACAGCTCCTAGCACCACGTCTCCGTAAGGAAGGAAAGATCTTCCCTCACCATGTGATTGGTTTGGTAGTTGGCCATCTGAGAAGAGTAAGCGGTGCACATCTGTGAACACTCGATGATCTGGATGACGAGCTGCATTCGGGTACCTCTCACAGTAAAGTCTCGCTGCAGCACTAGCGTTGCATCTGCATTCCCCATAAATGAGGTGCATGTTAGCATATTCTTGTACGGTGTACACGGACATGGCGGCACTGCACAATCACACTATCAAAGATAGTCTAAGGAAAGCAAATGTTGTTTTGAAGAGCAATTAAACAGTCCAAATCCAAACCACAAGCGATCAACAGTCCAGTTCACGAATCCAAAATTAGTAACAATACGAAATCAACAAGTACGAACATGTAAAGATGCGCAGTAAACGAGAGTACTGATCGGTATCAAAGTGTGCAATAGCAAGTAAGTGATGTGCTTCATCCATACCACATACAGCGTGTTCAACCTCTCCTACCCCGGGATTATGAGCCCCGAGTTGCTTTTTGTCGCACAATATTAGAAAGACACAGGAAAGATCCACAGTTCTTTGAAAAAATTTTATGGTCGGATGAGACCACATTTAAGAAAGATGGGTACATGAACCTGCATAACTTACACGAGTGGCACGTAGCAAACCCACATTTGATGAGAGAAGATAAATCTCAATATCGATAAACCATTGGACAGGAATTTTAAATGGTAAAATAATCGGTCCGTTTGAGTTCCCAGAGACTTTGACTGCTGAAGTTTATTTGGATTTTTTGAAAAATCATGTACAAAATTTATTGGTGGACGTGCCACTGAGTATTTACAGGGACATGTGGTTTCAGCATGATGGCTGCCCAGCGCACTATGCAGTCTCAGTGAGAGAGTATCTCGATCAAAACTTTCCAGGCAGATGGATAAGGCGGTCTGGTACAATACCGTGGCCAGCCCGATCACCTGATTTGAATCCTTTAGATTTTTTTACTGGGGAACTGTAAAAGAAAAAGTGTATTTCAAGCCGATTCAAAATGTAGCTGTGCTACGGCAAAGACTATTGGAAGCAGCCTGAGTTTGTTAATAACCGTGGATTCGCTCGTTTAATAACCCGATCTTTTTTAAGAAGATGTCGAGCGAGTATTGCGGCTGAAGGAAAACAGTTTGAGCATTTGCTGTAAAGGTAAATCATCATCAGTTTATTTTCAAATAAAAATTGTGCATAAGTTAACGAGTAATCTTCTAAGTTTTATGCCATTTTGGAATCGTTATTAAATGCGCCAACTTTTAAAGTTACTTGTCAAACTCTCGTAGGACATTTTTTCCAGTACAGCCAGTTAAAGTTGAGCAAAGTTTTACTTTGGAATACTTGATTGGGAAATAAATGGCAATTTTTCCTGAACGAGAAAAGTTGGCAGTAAGGTTGATACACCAGTTTGAAGATGCATTATTCATCATTACATTGTAAAAATAAAATCCAAAAAAAGTTAATATTTGTAGTAACAGGAGTTGACAGACTGCCGTAGGGTGTGAAATTTCTATATATTTTTCAAAGACCTATAATTTTCAAAACACATACATAAAAATTTTTTAAATATTTTTCTGATAGCTGTTATGACTTTGCCTATCATCCGGTTTCGGCTTGACGTTGACTTCTGGGACACCCTGTATAATTGTGGTTAGATCAATTTAATCTTCCTAAAAACTCCTCTGAGGTTTTTTTACACCGAAGCAGCCGCGCAAGTGTTAATCCCACTTTTGAACTGCCTAAGGTTAGTAGTACTGGTAACTGGTAAGTAGATACATACCTTAGGGACAAAGGAGCGGCCGTATCGGCCAGTTCTGGATGTACGAAGTTCGACTCGGTTACGATGGGTCGCCTAAGTCAGTCGGGTCAGTCTGGCAGGCACATGGCGCGGCGTCATCATGGAGGAGAGCTCTGAGACGCAAAGGCTGTTGGTGAAGCGGTAGAAAAGAGCTAGATCGCCGACGGCCCGCCGGTGCGAAAGGGTCCCGAGACTGTCTGTTAGAGAAGAGTCATCTCTATCAGTTGGACCGCCCTCCTCTGGACAGCATCGAGCATAAATATTGCAGTCGGGGCGGCAGCTCCCCAAACGTGTGAGCGATACTCGAGACTAGATCTAATCTGTGCCTTGTATAGAATGAGGAGGTCATGCGGAGAAAAGTACTTCAGCAAAGTTGTGAATTTAATTGATCGTATAGGTAAGAAGGTCATTGATATGTAAGAGGAAGAGTGTCGGAGCCAAGACCGATCCCTGGGGAACATCCGCGTTGACGTCAATTACGACAGATACCTTGCGGCCAGAGAAAAATTCAGCCACCCATCTGCAAAACTTCTCTGGGAGGCCATAGAATGGAAGTTAGCAAAAGAGGGCAGCGTGTCGCAGCTGATCGAACGCTTTCATGATATCAAGAGCAACGACATGAGCCTCACCATAAGACTGGATGAGGTTACTCCACAATTGCGTGACGTAAGCTAAGAGGTCCCCTGTGGATCGTTGGTAACGTTAACTATACTGCCTGTCGCTAATGAAGCCGGGACGACAGAGGTAGTCCAGAAGCTCGAGATTTATGGACCTATGCATCACCTTTTACTTATAACAGAAAACAGAGCTATAGGTATGTAGTTGTAAGAGTCAGACTTATATCCCTTTTTAGGGAAGGGTTAGACATGAGCATATTTCCAGTTTTCTGGAAAGGTGCCGTATTCTTAAGGTATCTGGAAGGGACGGCAGGAATCAAGTCCGGACCTGAAGCTTTGTTGATATCGAGCGACGTCTTACAGTCTTATGCCTGAATGTTACTTTCCCCATAGTGTAGGGAACCTTTGGAATCGACGGCACTCAGGCGTTGAGTTGGAAGCAAAGGTCTTGGCAAGCACTTCTGCCTTAGCATTTGAGTCGGTTACTATCGCTCTATCCTGGCACGTAAGAGGAGCAGGGCTGCCCTGTAAGAGCTTCCTTTCAATCTCTTGGCCAGCGTCTAGAAAGATCGACTGATATTGCGCCGCGACATTACTCTATGCCCAACTTTTATATCGTGCTGGTCTTTGACATGGCCGCTAGGTTGTATTTATGTCTAGAGTCGATGTTTGCTTGTCTGTTCTCTACAATGGGGTTTTGTAAGAAGGTTCTGTGGGCCTCTGACCCTGGGTTAAGCACTTTCACTGTATGAGGGATGTATTCCCCCATCCCAACGTGGATAATTTAGGTTATCGATGAACCGACAGCCAAAGCGTTCGCGTCAGAGAAGTAAACATCTCTTCAAAGAACGGTGGAGCCGAGGTCTCTGATCCTCTCCCAGTCGGAAGCCCGAAATGCCCAATTTTGCGGTCTGGGCGAGTGTTTGCTGTCACCGCGGGTTCTGACCGGAGCCTAGTCTCCACTACACCATGATCTGAGCTAGCCAGGGAAGACAGCAGGCAGTGCTGCAAGAGTCGGGATGCGTGGTCAGAAAGAGATCCAGCAGGCTAGTGGCATGTGATGAAAAGCGGGAGAAAAACTAGGACTCGTCACCAGGTGGGTCAGCCCTTTTGGATAATAGCGAACCCTTGAATTGGAGCGAAGCCATAGCCTGTCCTTCCGGTCTGATCCCAAGGAAACGTCTCCGCTAAGTAAAGCAGGGCGGGACGATTAGATTGCAGGTACTGATGAACAGCATCAATGTTCCTGTTAATTGATGTTGTTCCCTCGAGTGCAGCGTCCACCCGGACATTCCAAGAGTGGAATGATCTTACTTGCGGAATCCTTAGCACTCGAGGGATCCATCATCACTAATTTCTTTGTTGGGGAAGATAAGTGACTGCGTAGTTTAGGTGTGTCGACATGCGGACTTTCTCCAATCTCAACACACCCTGGATAAAGCCGAGCAGGTGTGTACTGCCTCGGTCGACTGGTCCTTGTCTAGCACCTTGATTCGGTGTGCTAATGATGTTAAATTGACCCGTTGGCGGAGTTGTACCACCATCCCGCAATCGGTACTGAGGTATTCCTTAACGCGTGCAAAATCACTTGAACGGACGAAGTTTTATACTGAATACAACAACTTCCGGGGCAAGCATTTGCCACTGCCCCGCTCGGTAGGGAAAGGGAAATGCATGAAAGATTATTCTGGCAGCGACCCAACTATTCGGTCTACTTTTTGGTGGGTATGGCTCGCTTTAAAAACGACGCTGACGTAAGAAATTCAACTTCTCAGGTTTTCTGTTCTGTGGTCAAAAAAGTACTAAGTGTCATTCTTGTCATTTATCTTGTCACTTTCGTCTTGTCAAGATGTCACAATAAAAAAACAAATGGGCAAATAGCAAACAGAATGAATAAAAACTGATCGTATTTAGAGTTCAAGAAGGAATGAGCCGTTTTTAGTCCGCAGTAAGGTTATTCTTGGAGATGTAAAAGACCACACTTGACCTTTTGGACTGGAGTGCGTCGCGGTGTTTGACGATGGTGTAGGAAGACTACGTGAGTCATGGAATCTCCTCCATCGAGCTCAACCTGGTCAGATGCTTTTATTTTAAGCGACGACAGTGGTCTGCTGCTCACCAATGGCTCAGCCTCTAGTGGGAGCGGTAGTTGTGAAAGTAGGAATGGTGGTAGAAGAATACCCTTTGAGGTATGTACAGCTTAGTGCAGAAATAGGGTTCAGAAGCTTTTATCTTGAATACAAGCATTTATCTTGTAGAGTGGATGTTTTATTTGATGATAAACGATAAAAATACGCACCACTTTCGATACTTTTAAATCGGTACTTGGTAAAGTCTTTTGAAACCTAACTAATTAGTCAAGCGAAATCTCATAGCAACCCTTTGTTGAGCAAATCAGTAGACTACACAGTCGAGCAAGTTCGTAAGCACACAAGGCCGCGGCTCGCACATTGAACAAAATCAAATTGTGCGACTTAAGGTCCAATCAAAATTATAATTTTTCTTCAACAACCAATCTCTAATTAATTTAACAAGACTTTAACCAAGAGAAAAGGTCCTACGGACTGCTCTGACAAACAATGATGAATAGAACATAACTAATCTGTTTTATTTATCAAACATTGTAATGTTGATAAGGCATAATAACCATTGACCTGCAGAGAAAGGTCGAGATAAATTTGGGGCCCTATTTGTAAGTGCTAGTATTGACAACTGAGTTTAAAAAAAATATTGGAGATAAAATGAGATACTGTAGCATCAACAATGAGAATTTATCACAGTTGTTTCTCTACTTTTTATATATGAAAGTGCATGCACACTATCTATAAATGATGCTGCTGTATCTTATTTTATATTGGACAATTTTTTTAAGGCTCGGATATAACAGGAGGTTAGCTATGTTCAAGTAGAATATGTTAATCAATGGCTTAACTCAATAATAAAATACGTTTTTTCTGCTTCAATCCATTATTGTTTGTTAGAGAGGTTTATAGGACCTTTGCTCTTGGTTAACTGTTAAAGCCCTTTAGAGCTGAATTTTCATATATCTTCACCTAAGAACCTTACACCTGGTTGCATCACATTGCTGAGGTTAACTTTAAGCATAACTAAACCTTAACTTATTTAAAGTTCTGCCTAGTTGTTTGTTAAGTTATGAAAAGACAATAAGTTGTTTGCAACTACTGATCAAAAACAACTGGCAAGCCTTATCCGATTTGTCCAAAATTACTTGTTTTAGAGCTTTCTTCTTTCCTACCAAAATCATTAACTCATTTCTCCTCATTTGTATGCCAGAGAAGGTTCTTTAAATATATGCTTAATATTATTAACAGGTGTTCATATAGATAGTATGAAGATGAAGATGATTTGGCTTTCCCAGGTGTTTGATTTGCCAGGGTTTCCCTAAAAGATTATAGTATGCAAAATTAAAACATGTGGCATGTTAATAAGTTAATATTTGTCATTTTCAATAATAAGCAATGAAAAATATGATTATAATTATTTTGCTTATGTTGTATACCACGAACCCTATTTCCTGCTAATACTATGTAACAGCTTTTTGGGCCTTTTCCATTATTATTAGGATCATTAATCTGCGAATATCATTCAAAATTTCTATCTCTTACAACTCAACTCTTGACCCCAAAAAAGTACTTTAAAACTGGTTCATTTGTCAGCCACAAAGCTTTTATTGTCTCTTAGGAAATACAAATTTATGGGGTTTTTGCTCTGACCGATTCAAATGTTTGCTGAAACATCATGAGGTAGGTACCACTTTTTTGATGACATGTCAAGTTTTTGTGACACTACACAGAGACCATGACAGCAAATATGTCAAGTTCCAGATGCAGGGACACGATAGTCACGCGAAATCGTACTATCATCTCTTGTGCGCGTCAGTGGACTGTACAGGGTGGAAAACTAATAATGCGAGGTACTGTATCTGTTATTACTAGAAACAGTTATTAATAAAATGACCAAGAGAAAAATCCGGGAAAATATTTTCAAGTTTCGGAAATGGCCGGGTGGGGCCGTAACTGCAATCTTGAATCTATAAAAGTGATGTTTTGTGAATTCTGCTATAATAACCTAACAAAAAATACCTCATCCTTAAATTCGAGGATAATCTGAACTTTTTTTGTCTGACTACTTTTGCTGTATCTATCTGTATTTTAGAAACTTCAAATACTATAACATTTGGAGCCCAAGAATAGCTCATTTCAACTAGCCTAAGTTTGTTAAAATCGACCCAGCCGTTTCGAAGGTACAGGGTGGTTTTTATGGAAATCTTTGAATACCCCCCACACCACTTTATTTTTAGAGATACAGCAAAAATTATCAAACAAAAAAGGTTCACATTATCCTCGAATCAAAAATCGGGTATTTTTTCCAGAGTTTTCTCTTGGCTGTTTTAGTAATAACTTTTTTTGCCGCATGCCTCTATGATGGATAGGTTCCCAGATACAGCACCTCTCATTCTTAGTTGGCCACCCTGTACAGCGAAGCAAATTTGTAAATCATTCAAGGCCATAGCTGTGACCAAACTTGAATGCGGAATTTTATTACATCCATAATTATTATGATAAAATAAAACTTTAATGAAAGTTCATTTGATATTAATCTATACCATAATCTATGCCGTATTTGGGTAGAAGGCAGTAAAGTTCATTTACTGCCATTTTTAAATTTCAACGCCAATACATGTCTTTTATGATTATAATTACAAAATATATCATTGATCAAGTTATTTAACCTAAATAGTTAAATTTTCACCTTGTCAGATATTTCATATTAACTACTGCACAAAAGCAGTAAATCAATTTGTAAAGCAAAAAAGCAGTATTCTTTAAACTTTTGTTCTGTGTATGGTACAAGTACTGCCTCTTTTCCATTTTATTTAGCATATTTTGCTATTTTCCAAATGAAACCCCTCCTAAGCCAGGGTGGTCTTTTGAGCATATAATATGCATTTGTTTTTAGTCATTTGTCGTTTAATATTGTCACTTGGGTATTTTTAAGCTCAATAGAGAATTATTAGGCTCATTTTTGGTTGAAACTATAATGAGTCATGCAGAGAAATTTTAAAGCACACAAAATTCTAACACTATCATCAAGGCAGCAGTGGTGGCCACAGCACTAGACTCTTCAGTCTCCTGATCAGTCGCCGTGCGCTGTGCGGGTTCGAATCCCGTCCCAGGAGAAAATTTTCTCTTGGCTATGGATGTTGTGATTGTCCGTAGGTGGTAGACGGTTTCTGACTGTCGAACGCGGAGGTACCACCCAGCGGGTCTTGTAGGCGGAGTTAGAATGTGTGCATGCACACGTGTTGCCTCACCAGAGTCCGTGTGGCGTTCCCCCTTTCCCCTGTATCCCCCTTTAGCCCCACGGTACCTCATGGGTGTTTAGGCATCAGGCCTTCGTGGTGGCTAGAGTATAAGAAAAATACATATACATATTGAAATGTGTGACATTTGTGAAGACCAACCCTGATGCCTTTATTCTCCTTGGAAGTAGCCACAACTATACAACACGTAGTACGCTTTTAAAATTTCTTAGACATAAATCAACAGCATGATATGAAGTATTTTATAATTGCTTCCACCTATTCAACAATTTATCAAAATATGTAAGGAATATCGCAAATTATAATGAGTTTAAGCACAAATTAAAGAAATTGCTATGCCAGAGCTGCTTTTATACTGTACAAGATTTTTTAACTATCGCAACTTTGTGTATGGACCTTGCTTAGATGTATTTACTAAGGATAAACTCCAAAAAGTGCAGAATTCTTGCATACGACTTATTTACCAGCTTAGACGTCACGATCATGTCAGTCATAAACTTTCCGAACTGAAATGGTTGAATGTTTCCAATCGAGAAAAGCTGCATTTTGCTTGCTTTCTTCATAAATTGATTAAAACTAAAAGCCCTCCATATCTGTTTGAAAAATTAACTCGTAGAAATTTGATTCACTCTCGTGCAACACGCTTTAATGTACTTTATGAAATACCTAAAATAACTAAAACCATGACTCAAAGCTCATTTTCCTATACATCAGTCAAACTTCTAAACCAATACAATATAGGTCAATTTGAAGATATGTCTCCTAATATGTTCAAACGAAAACTGAAACAACTGCTTCTGTGAAGTATAAGTTGTTTATTATTGCTTATTTTCTTTGTATACGTACATCTGTAGTTATTATTGTTCATTGTTGTTATGTAATATTCTAAAATTAATGTAATGTAAAACTTGTTTCTTGTCATATTACTTTTCTTTTTGGCTTGTTGTTACTTTTTACATGCTCGGTTAAGTTAACAGCATAGCTGGCCTTCGCCGAGTTTAAAATAAAGACGTTTTTATTTATTTATTTATAAATCATTATTTTCGCTCCAAAAGAGTAATTCTGAAAAATATACTTTGTTTAACTTAAAATATAAGAGAAAATGCTGTTTTTAGTTTATTTATATAGTTATTTTTGTTGAATGTAGTTATTAAATGTAATCATATGATTATAATTATTAAATTGAATTATTAGATTTTGTAAAGATTTACTTTTGTGATATTCATGTGAATTATATACAAAATATGAAAAAATGCAGTAAATTTGTTATCGCAGAGTATAAAAACAGTAAATCACATGTTACTATTTTTTAAATTACAACACAAAGTTGGAATGCCATCAATTTTAGCCCTCAATAACAAGTATGACCCGAGACCACATTTAAATGACTTTCTATAAAGATATGTAACTTTGCAGTATTCAATCACTTTTATTCTGTCATAGTATCACTATAAAAATCCAGAATTACTGTTCCTAATTTTCTCAGACTTTGATTTTGACACTTTTCTGCCTTTAACCCAAGTACTTTCTTACGTCATTAATTGGTGTTTCCAATCTGGAATTTGTCCTGATGCATTTAAAACAACTGTTATTACTCCTGTTTATAAAAGCGGTGACAGAATGGAAACATCAAATTATAGACCCATATCAGTACTATCGAATATAGCCAAAATTTTCGAAAAATTACTACAAAAAAGGATATTACAATTTTTGGACAAAAACAAAATTATATGTTCTGACCAATATGGATTTAGAAAAGGAAAATCTACTACAGATGCAATTTTGGCTGCAATGGATGAAATTAACTCTAATGTCAACAAAAAGATACCTACTATTGGTATCTTTGTTGATCTAAAAAATGCCTTTGACACGGTTAACCATGTCGAGCTTCTGAAAGTTATGGAAAGATTGGGATTTAGGGGAGCGTCACAAATCCTTTTAAAAAATTACCTTTCAAGTCGGGCACAGACTGTCAAAATCACTAACACTTACAGTAAAAAAATGTACATCAAGTGTGGTGTGCCTCAAGGAACAGTACTAGGCCCACTATTATTTAGTCTCTACTTAAATGACTTATTCAAAATTAACAGTTCTGGAAAGATTATATGTTTTGCAGATGACACCCTCGTATTATATAAAGCTGATGACTGGAGCACACTGAAGTAAATAGCTGAAAAGGATTTTATAAGGATCATTGACTGGTTTGATACTAAAATTTTAACAGTTAACTTAAAAAAAAAAACAAAATTTATTGCATTTACATTCTATTCAAAATTTTTACCTACCAAAAGACCAAAATCGATAGAGTTAACACTTTGAAATATCTTGGAATATTTATAGACTCACATCTTAGGTGGGATAACCATATTAAATATGTTATCAAAAAAATTAGAAATGTTGCCTATAAACTCAAAATGCTTGCTAACATTCTTACAGAAAGTTATCTGCGAATCCTATACCATGCCTTAGTTGAAACCCATATAATATACGGCATCACAGCCTGGGGTGCCGCCTGCAAGACATATATTTCTGACCTGAATATAGCACAAAAAACTGTTTTGAAAGCCATTTTCCATAAGCCAAGATTATATCCAACGAACAACTTATATCCAGAAACAGGGATACTTGATACAAGACAACTTTATTTCTTACATGCCACCTCCTTATACCATAAGTATTGTAATAAAAAGAAAAAATCCTATAAACACGAGCATAACACACGATTTCGAATAGGCTCATCTAATATCCAAAGACCACACAAAACATTATTCAAAAAATCATTTAAATTCTTAGCAGCTAAATTATATAATGTAGTACCAAACAAAATAAAGATACTTAATTTTGGAAAAAAATTTAGAAGAAAATTGAAAGACTGGGTTAGTAATGTGCAGCGAATGACTATACATAATTATATAGAAAACTAAAACTACAAAATTCCAACTACATTAATACCTTTTAGATTTAACAATAATTGTTATACACATATATGACTGATTGTTAGTTATTAAGATATAAACCACACACAGGCGATGCCTTCTGTGGTTTTTTCATATTTATTTGCCCATTTTTTGTATTTTGGCGAATAAATATTATTATTATATACTAAGCAACAGTGCTCAAACATATCCACTTCTCTTCCATTTGCTCACCTATTTCATCCCTTTTTTTCTGGCCCCTGGGGAACCATAGCTGCAGAACGGACAAAGGTCCTTCAGGGTTGTCTCAAGAACAATACCATATTTTATCAACTGCAAACATTAGTGTATTAAGTTTCAGGACAGCGACTGCGAAGAAAAGTCTCTCTCCCAAGATGAGTCACTTGATGACTCGTCTGACATAATGTGTGGGGAAAACTTCAATACTTTGAAAAAGGGCCCTCATTGGACAGATTTCACAACAAAACATTCTGCGTCACCCATCGAGCCACCTCCAGAATTTCAGGACAGGCCCAACTACTCAATGATAGAATATTGTGAGAAGTTGACAGGTCAGATCATCAGGCAGGCTTTGCTTGAGTTCAAGGTAAGATATTTCTTTTATGACAATACTAGAAATTCATGTTATCAGATGAAAATCGCATTTACATATAAAACATTGCATACAAGTTAAACAAAATGTAAACAACTTCTAAAAATCTTTTTGCGACAGTCAAATATTTATCTCATTCTTTCTCTCATTTTGCAAAAAAGGTATCTACTGAACTTTCTTTGCAGGTCATTGATACCGAGTTTAAAAAATATGTTTAAACACTGTAAAAATGCTCATTTTCAGAGGTCAAATGGTCGCATCTGATTATTTCATTGTATGTATAGAGATGACTAAAAGATAATGTTACCAACTTTTTTTCAAAAAATGCTTGCAGCCTGAAATTGTATGTTAATATTCCAATTTTATGGAAGAATAAGTTGGGTGATAACTTTTATTCTTAGCACTTTTTCTCTTCAAAAAATCTTTGATTTTCGTGAAACCTCATTTTGCAGCAAATTGAGCTTTTATGAATATCAAAAGATTTTTTGAAGAGATAATGTGATGAGAAAACAAGTAATCATCCCCTTCATACTCCCATAAAAGTGGAATATTCACAAACAATTTTAAAGCTGTACTAAAAGTCCTGTCTCAGTGAAGTTGGCCAACTATCAAAACTAAGTTCTTTATTATAAAATTGACATACTAGTGGACATGTAAAAACTAGAATATATTTCTGATAACATACGGTATTTTTATTTAATATTAGCCTAAAAATATCTTACCAATTCATAAAAGCTGCCGATTAATGAAAATCAACAAAACCAAATAGCAGCAAATCACCACTGCGTTACATCGCCTTTTGGACTGATCATTGTTTCGATACGACTTGACATAGTGTCAACTAATGTTTTTCAGTCATCTGGTGTAAATCTGTTCCAAATTGCTTGGAGCCCGGTTCGCAATTTTTCAACGGTTCTTGCGGGATTCGATCGGAGCTTGTTCTTCTTGATATGCCACAAGGTTTTAATCGGCGATAGATCTGGACTATTCGACGTCCATTTTAAAACTGAAATACTGTTTTCTGGCTCAATCTTTTACTTTTTGTAGTAATATGGCAAGTGGCACCATCTTGTTTAAACGCATTTGTTCAATTTGGGGTATTGAGTTATTTTGAAGCGCATTAATGTACGTATCAGCATTCATAACACCTTCCACAAAGTATGTTTCCTACTCCACTTGGAGCCCCAAATCATAACAGAATCCTGAAACTTAAGTTTTTTAAGACAGTTATTCTGAAACACTTCTTTAGTTATTATGACACGACTCCTACCATCACTAACACATACTTCAAATCTGGCTTCATCACTACAAATAATGCAGTTCCATTGGTTCGGAGACCATAATTTGTGTTCTTTGACCCACGCTAGTCTGTTTTTCTTCTGAATCTTTGTCAGAAAGGACTTCTCTTTTGCCTAGAAATACTGAATTTTTGGGCAACTGTGTGACAAGTTGCTCTTGAAAACTTGTTTGTGGTTGCCTGATTCATCTTTTCAGTTCGTTATAATTAGCACGCCTATTTTCCTTGATAATCAAATTTAAGGTTCTTAAGTTGATATTAGAATAACGCGGGCGAATTCCAGTTCTAGGTTTTTGAGTCACAGATCCCGTTGTTTTGTACAATTTAGTAATCTTTTGAACTGTATACCTCGATTTGTTATCACTGTCAGCGATCTGGGAAGCCTTTCAAATGCAAGTGAATGATCAGTTTTCTTATTCCGTCAGAAACAGCTTGACCACGAGCCATTTTTAATTGTTAACAAAAACACCAATGGTTTGAAAGTTGATTCAAATGTCAAAAATCAGCTTTTTAGCAACATAAAATGTTATCATTTGTTTCAAAAACCCAACCTTTATTTTATCGAAGCGAATAAACAGATCATTCAACTTAAGTTGTCTCCATCATGTATTTTGCTATCTACAAATGATTTTGCAAAGAAGATTAAATTGGAAATAAAAACGGTTTAAAAATAGCCGCGTCGATTTCGTTATATTTCCATAAACATTTAAAGAAACCAACATTTTTATATTTAAAATACATTTTTAATTAGCCCCCAAAAAAATTCACAAATATCATGTTTTGGGGCGTTGGCCAACTTCACTGACACAGGACTCATATAGTTCGTTAACAAGTAACGAGTGAACAAAAAATGCACAAAAAGTTTTGTATCTCAGGTTGCAACGAGCCTAAATCAAGCTTAAAACATTATTAGATTTCTATACCACAGTCAAATCCTTTTCTATACTTTCGAAAGTGCTAACAGTTTATTTTTCTTAAAATTTTTATTAAATTGACATAACTGGCTCATTAGGCACGCCGAAAACCGTTATACTACTAGAAATGCAAAAGTTGAGTGAAGACTGAAGTGAAAGCTTTCGAACAATATTTGATGTATAACAGTGAAATAGTATACAAGGGTTTTTTGGTACGTCAAAACGAACCATGGGCATAGTTTTACTGTAGCCGCTTGAGGGCGCTCTCTACTGTACCTGTAGTGTATTAAAATAACCGAAAAAATTTTCTTACTGCAATTTTTTGCTTTTTGAATAAAAAAACTGATTCTTCGCACTTTTCAACATAAAAAAGCTCTCTTGTGAATTTTCGTTATAGTTAGCCGTTTTCGAGATATTTCGATTTTTAAGGTTCGATGTATTTTTAATTATTTATGATAAAATAACGTTAAAAAGTCAGTATCTCGATAATTTTTAGAAGTAGGCTGCGCCTGCAAATATTTTTGAAATTGAAAGCAGAATAAGGTTAAACGTCAATTAGTTGACAGTTAGTTTTGTTGTCTGTTGAAACCTGAAACGTTTTTTTGCAATTGTGAATGCACGAAATTTAGTTTCTTTTACCTGTTTTTTTTTTTTTGTAAGTTTTATAAAAATGCCATTTTTATTCTCCAATCAAGAGTTAGCGGATATTCATTTTGTGTATGGCTTTGTAAATGGAAACGCAGCAGAAGCAGCCAGAGAATACGCACGAAGATTTCCAAACAGACGACATCCAACTCGCTCAGTATTTGTAAGAGTGCATCGCCAAATAATTGAAAATGGTTTTGGAAATCTCCAAAGGCATCAAAACATAAATGTTCGTCAGCGCAGATTTACCCGTATGATTCTGACGTACCTTGGGAATTTCAGCAAGCCATGTTCACCGTGTTCTTAGAAATGACCATAGACGTCCTTACCATTTGCAACCTGTGCAAGGACTACAGCCAGGAGACGGAGAACGAAGAATCACATTTTGTCAGTGAATTCTTGATAGAACTGATAATAATAGGGAGTTTTTAAGTAACGTTTTATAGACCGATGAGTCACGCTTCACTAGCCGTGGAGTGGTAAATTTTCATAATCAACATATTTGATCGCATGAAAATCCGCATGCAGTTCGGGAAAGAAATTTTCAGCATGAATTTAGTGTGAACATGTAGATTGGTATCTACCGTAATCGACTATTTGGACCCTACCTTTTGCCTGCAAGGTTAAATGTTGTGACCTTCTTGGAATTTTTAAAGGCTGAACATGCAAATATGTGGGATGATGTTATGTTAGATTTAAGAAGATTGGCCTGGTTCCAGCTTGATGGTTGTCCAGCTCATTATTCGAGAATAGTTAGAAACTGGCTGGACGAAAATTATCCAGAAAGATGGATCGGCCGTGGAGGACCAGTCGCCTGGCCTCCACGATCCCCTGACCTAAATCCATTAGATTTCTTTGTGTGGGGATTTCTAAAAGAAAGGTGTACAGGCTCCCGTAACCACAAGAGATATGCTAATAGACAGAATCAGGAATGCATGTGATGAAATAAGGCCTTATTTGAATAATGCTATACCACGTTCGATCATTCGTAGATGTGAATTGTGTATCGAACAATTGGGTTTACATTTCGAGTAACTACTTTAGATTTTGTATGTTTGTCCTAACTATCCAATAGCATTTTAGTTGTAAATAATTAATTTAATTTGTTAAAAATAATATTGGAAAATTAAACAAATGAATATTCTGTTTTTTTGTGTTTATTTGGAGTTAGGAATTATTGCTGTGTTTAAAAACACAATCTAAACGATCATCTTAATTACTTGTAATGCCCAAATCGAAAATGTAAAAAAAATATTATTTTCCCATAAATAATTAAAAATATCTCAAAAATGGCTAACTATAACGAAAACTTACAGGAGAGCTTTTTTATGTTGAAAAGTGCGAAGAATCAGTTTTTTTATTGCACTAAGAAAAAAATTTCGGTCATTTTAATACACTACAGGTACAGTAGAGAGCGCCCTCTAGCGGCTACAGTAAAACTATGCCCATGGTTCGTTTTGTCGTACCAAACAACCATTGTATACCAATTTTCACTGTTATACATCAAATATTGTTCGAAATATTTAAAAAAAACTATTTTAGAAAGTAAATTTAAACACCCTGTATTTCGGAAGCCACGCATTTTTCGACCCATGTTTATATAGACTTTATGCATTAATTTTAAAAGTTCTATCGAATCTTAAAGTTATGCAACAATAAACTGAAACTATAATATATAATACTATAAACTATAAAAATGTCTGTTACTGTATACTCAATAAAGTATTGAATGCTTGTAAAATGTTTGCGTTACTGAATGTTGAAAATATATTGTTTTTATAGTGACTTATATTTAGGACGCTTTGCTGTATTGGAAACATGGAAATAATTAATGATTCACATAATCGATTTTTTGTTTAAAAACTGAGGAACTATCTGTTGCTATATGACAGTTTCAACCTAAAATAGGAAAGGAAAACTAAGGTCTTCGTTTATGACTAGACCCAAATGCTTGCATATATCCTTGAATTTTAAATCTGGGCTGCCTATTTTCAAGTCCAGGCTTGGTTTTAAATGTCTCCACTTTTCTTTCTTGCAAAAAGAACTACATTTTTATATCATATAAACACTCAATCTAAACTTGAAGTAAACCTTCAAAATAGAGTAGTAAAGTAAGCACACATTTTCTTAGTAAATATTTGTCTACTCACATCTGAGAAGTTTTGTAGGTGTTCATAGCTTTTTGTCGTCGCGTCGTGTGACATTTGCTAACCACTGCATGGATTGTAACGATTTTTTAAGTTTGTGTTGGTTCTCATTCTCGATCTCTCCAAACAGTGATTGTGTCTAATGCGAAATGTTTTCTAACGTTTCAGTTTTCGCCTTGACGATCGGAGAACAGATTCTCCTTGGGGGTATAATTAAATATCATTTTAGTTTCTAAGTTAAGTTGTGTTTTCAGGATGGTGAATTGAAAAGGCTGCGGCTTCTGACTCATATCCATAGGCCCCTACATCATCTACTTGGAAGACCTTACTTCACAACAGAATTTATACCTTTCAGTCCATGTCATCATATTGGCAGACCAAGCTCCAGGAGTTCCCTTGGGTCATCTAGGTTATCCAGTTCGCATAACTCCCTGTAAGTCTAAGCTTCTAATTATTATTAATTTAATTGGAAAAATTAAACACATTCGGGCTAATGAACAACAACAACTGACAACATAAACATAAAATTAAAACCAACGACATGGTTACAAAAATTGTTGAAAATGGACCCCTTCACTTAGTATGCATGCTTCCGCCCTCCTTCTCATGGAATTGTGCACTCTTTGAAATATCCGTGGAATGTTTTTTATTCTATCACAAGCTGCAACTATTCTTTCTCTTAATTCCTCTACAGTGTTAATGGGACTTGTGTACACTAGTGCCTTAAGATAGCCCCACAAAAATAAATCTAAACTGTTGAGGTCTGGGGACCTTGGTGGCCATTCTTGGGGCCCACCGCGGCCAATCCAACGATTTGGATAAACAGTTTGTAAATAATTACGAACCGCTACACTGAAATGCGCTGGTGCACCATCATGCATGTACCACATATTGTTTCTTATTACTAACGGCAAGAAGAATGGGCCAATAAAGTGGTTGCCAATAATTCTTGCCCATACGTTAACCGAAAATTGGTGTTGGAAATGGGTTTCGGTTACGGCATAGGGATTTTCTTCACAAATGATTATTGTGGAAATTGTGAATGGCATTTCTAGAAAAATTAGCTTCGTCCGTGAACAGAATCATTGATTCAAATTCAAGAGAGATCATTTGTTTTAAATTGGACGGGGAGTCCAAAAATTTGTCAAAAAACCATTGGCGTACCATTTTTTTCTTAAAAAATATCGAAGTCAATACCCGTACGCACGCTACTGTTGAAGTTAAAAATTATTTTTGCATTGAAAAATATGCAGCTTTATTAACTTTCACTACGTGCTAAATATCAGTGAAATATCTGAAGCGGTTCTGAAAATATTAATTAATTTCCATTTTTTTCCTAAAACTTCAACACCTCGAGTTTTTGTAAGGAAACATTTTTGAACCATAGTTTATAAAGCAAACTAACATTAATTTTTCATGTAGATTCACACCCTTAATTATGCGCATATCATTAAGGAACACCCTGTATATTGAGTAATATTGAATTAGAGATAACAGATCTTTTGGCAGTGAATCCATGCTGATAAAGCGAGAGCTGATTCTCAATTTCCGAATAAATGCGGCTGTGCAAAATTATCTCAAAGATCTTTGCAAACATAGAAACAGTTGAGACAGGCCTATAATTAGTAATATTATTTTTGTCACCACTCTTATACACAGGACAGACTTTCGCTGTTTTCCACATATTTGGAAAAGTATTGGCTGTTGTATAAAAAGGTGGGAGGAGTAAATATCGCTGAGGTAGTATCCTTGATTAAAAATGATGGTATATTGCCCTGACCAGATGTCACTTTATTTTTCAGTTTCTTAATAGCGGACAGACCTTCAGATTCCTGGATAGGCAGATATGGATAATTTTGAAATATTACTAGATACTCAGCTGTTATTTTACCGCAATAACTTCACTGACAATCAACAGATGGTGCTGCACGAATTCAACTTTGTAAAAACCGCCAATAATTATATATACGTAAATGGCGATCTACGAGGGTGGTCCCAGAAGAACCCGACCAAACGAAGAAAGCACAAAATTTTTGTACATTTTTCAACATAATCTCCTTTGAGCTCTATACACTTTTCCCAGCGATGTTCAATAAGTTCGATACCCTTTTTAAAATAAGAACTGTCTTGCTCCTCAAAATAGCAATTAACTGCCGACATCACTTCTTCATCGTTGGAAAATCTTTCACCACTGAGCCATTTTTTCAAGTTTGGATACAGAAAATAATCCGAGGGGACTAAATCTGGTGAATAGGGTGCATGAGGGTAGCAATTCAAACTTTAATTCGTTAATTTTGGCCATTGCAATAACGGATTTGTGAGCTGGTGCATTGTCTTGATGAAACAACACTGTCTTCTTAACCAAATGCGGCCGTTTTTGCTTGATTTCATCGCTCTAACGTTGCAATATATTCGCATAATACTCGCTGTTGATAGTTTTACCTTTTTCAAAACAGTCAATGAAAATTATCCGACGCGCATCCCAAAAAACAGTCCATTGTTCTTTTGTCTGGGGTGTGAAGTGATGGACAAATGTTTCATATGGTTATGAAACGACGCAAAAATTCTGCTTTATTGCTGTGAAACTTCGCTAAACACTCAATTGAAACATCTTCACGATGTTTTTGCTCGATTGTGAGCAATCGTGGTACCCATCTTGCACACAGTTTTCTCATGTCCAAATTTTCAGATAATATGCGATGAGCTGCACTTTTTGAAATACCTACTATGTCTGCTAGCTCGCGCACTTTCAGTCGACGATCATTCAGTATCGCTTTGTGAATTTTCTTCACCATTTCTGGAGTCTTCACCTCATTTGGTCGACCACTGCGATGCTCGTCTTGGCAGCTCATACGGCCTCGTTTAAACTCTTCTACCCAATATTTCACTGTTGTAAACGAAGGAGCAGACTCACCCAGAGTAGAATCCAATTCAGCTTTTATATTGGTTGGGCTGAGGCGTTTGAAATAAAAGGATTGTACCACATAACGATGACAATTTTCTCCATTTTCACAAATTCACTGAAAACATTCAGTATTGATGGCTGCCAAACAAATACTAAACGTGGCGTCTTCAAACTTGACACATGTGCTTTAAAGGTTGCATACTTTCTAATACAATGATATTTTTCAAACAACTATCGCCATCTCTAGGTCAGGTCGGGTACTTCTGGGACCACCCTCGTATTTACGAATATGCCGCGTATAATTAAAAAAAAACTAGCTCTTTTAACCAGAGATTTCCCTCTTTCAGTTCCGTTCCAACGGCTCACAAAGTAGACGATTCTACTTTCATAACGCAGGCTGTATCCCATGACACGTTATCGCCGCATCAGATCAGCGACCTCTACACGGTACCTTTTGACAGTGATGTGTACGCTGTTCCTGTGGACGTAGTGAAACCTACGCCACCGGTTGTGTCTATAGCGAAACCGAAAAAATTGCAACCATTTGCCAAGAAAAGGCAGCGGCGCAATACTGCCGGGGGAGCGTGTAGAGAGGTAGATCAGAGATGCGCTGCTAATGCTGTTGAAACAGAAGTGGTCAGGAAGAGCAGTTGTAAGGCAAGCGATAAGGTGAGCCCAAAAGAGTTATATTGGCGAGACAGTTGTTTAAAATTGGATTTCACCAACATTAATATTTGACGGTCACTTGAGCCAATGGGAAAAGGCCTTATCGAAATGAAATTTGAAGGAAGCTGTCAAGGCTCTCTGAATATCAGTGATTTCTATTGAAATGTTGAATGAAATCGTGAAAAAAAGGGTGTATTGTAAACAAGACCACTTTTTGATTCCAACATGATGCTTTTGTACAGAGAAAACAGGACAAGTTTCATGTATTTTGATTTATGTTATAAGTGTACATTTGACAATCCGTCCCTCAGGGAATGGGAATGGGAGAAATAATAGGTAGATTTTCTAGCTGTTAAATTGGGCAGCAGGTTTGGACGTTTGTTATCGCATGGCAATCTCGAATTTGTTAAGTTCAATATACTGAGTGTTTATATGTATGTTATCATTATAGCTACATACCTCGAATAGTGTGGATTTATCTGTATTTTGCAAAAAAAGTAGAATATAAAATACATTCCATCCAATTCCTCATCTTCCTTTACATCATAATATTTATTAATTTACGGGCTAATGAATTTCTTTAAAGCAATAAAAACATTGTCCTCTCCATCCTAAAACATAGATAATATGTTTACAGTTATTACTAAAACGGCCAAGAGAAAAATCTGGACAATATTTACAAGTTTCTGAAAAGGCCGCTAGGGGCGTATCTGCAATCTTGAATCTAAAAAAGTGATGTTTCTGTGAAATCCGCTATATTAACCTAACAAAAAAGTACCTGACCTTTAAAGTCGATAATAATGTGAACTTTTTTTGCTTGGCAACTTTTGCTGTATCTCTAAAAATAAAGTGGTGGGGGTATTCAAAGTAGAGGGCTTTTTTGACAAAAAATTTAAATGCATTGATAAGGTTTTTTTTATGAAAAAGTTGCTGAATGATGTCTAAGCAAGCTTGCGAAAACCGCATCTCGATATCTTGTTCCTAACCTAAGATTTATGCCAAAGAAAATTTTATACGGAAATCCCTTAAATTTTTATAAACTTATTTTAATTTTTTTGAGAAAATTAACCATTTCTGTGGGAACGTCGGAAAAACCATCTAGCGAGCACAAGTGAAACTAACAAAACTTCAAATACTATAACATTTGTAGCCCAAGAATAGCCCATTTCAACTAGCCCAAGTTTGTTAAAATCGGCCCAGCCGTTTCGAAGGTACAGGGTGGTTTTTATGGAAATCTTTGAATACCTATTTTTTCTGCAATACACACTGTTGCATATATTTATTCCCCTGGACACATTAATATATTTGTTTCTCTAAGGGTGGATTTCACCATGATTGTCTAATCAACAGTCCGTTATTCTCGACCTATAGGGTAACAGTCCGTCAAATACAGCGAATGAGCTTCAAGTTCCAATCAACAAATTTTAGCAACCAGTAGCTATGAAATGTTGAAAACAAAATCCTGTCAAAGTATGAGATGGCAGCTTGACATTGAAACATCACCAGCTTATTGAATATTAAGAAATTACATATGATTTAGTCAAAATTTAAAAAAAGTGTTCAATTTTCGAATAAATTTAATGTTTTTATTTAATATTGTCGATTGTTTATTCATGTTTATATTATTTTCTTCAATTGATATGCGATTTTACTGATTCAACATCACTTACCGTGTGTTCTTTTCCTATAAACCTCTTGCAGATAGCCATTAAGCACCTACTTGATGACAGGCTCTACCAAAAATTTCATAGATATTGCTCGTTTCCAAACATTCATTAATTTACTTCATCAGTACCATTATAGCACCGTCGATTGATATTCCCACAAAACCATTTAGGATTTTTTATATCCATACATCCATATACTCTACTATGCTTGATAAGACTATACGTGGAACTTTTCCCAAAATCGTTGCACAACACTTGAAGAAATGCAAATGAAAATTTAAAATTATGTCCATGATGCCGCAAAATAGCTCTGTTGGTACCTCGGGATATACATCTTGACAGTAGGGATGTTCGATACGATCCTATATTTAGAAGTATCGATACATTTCACGAGTATCGTCATCTTTCGAACCGGACTGTGTCAGAAAGGGTGATTAACTTCAGATAACTTCTCTTCTTTGTTTCCTTCCGCTGGATATCGAGTCGTTCTTGTCAACTGGGCTGCAGGCAGGGTGCGGTATTGCCTTTACTATCTTACATTTTGCTAAAATGTTATGACAAATAAAAGCTTCAAATTAAATATTGACGAATATGAACGGATATGCATAGAATTTAGAATATAAATTCAGATTGCAAATTTTAGATTGTCTCTGCATGGACTTGAACCGGATTTTTCGGTATTTAGCAATAAAGAAACCGCAACCTGTCTGTTTTCAAAATAAATATTTAATTAAAATGAGAGGTGAGTTCATGAGTTCAGGGGTAAAACAGAAAAATATTCACAATCCTATAAACAAGAATCGAAAAAGGAGTTTCTAGAATGGTTACAAAGTACTTTGGAAGAGCGACCAGTATGCACATTGTAGAAGTTGTCATATAGAACCACGCCCTCAAAAAACATGTTGTGTGCGCGCCCAATACAATAACAGACGTTTTTCATGACTCAAAGGTCCTTGCTCTACCACTGATCTTGGGACGGCACTTACCTTATACCGAATTCAACGACACTATTTACCGATTCTGGTTTTTTGCCGGTTCGGCAACACTGCAGATGTGCAGATCACGTTACAAGCAAAATTGATATCCCAGACGCGTTATAATAATAGTAATAATAAGAAAATATAACAATGTTTCATAAATAGGTATTTTTTATTCTGACATAATATCTAGACGATGAATAATAGGTGGATGCGGATACTTTTACAAATACCGATACCGATGTTTTAGGACTCAGAAATGCAGAATGTGCTGTTTGTTTACATTTGATGTGGATTTCTAGATCATAAATTGGCAAAAATTGTTTTTGATGTAACAAAAGATGATTACGTTTTATATCCTTTTTTTTTGCAAAATAACAAAAATTGGTACATTTCTTCTTCTTTGTATTATGTACGTGATATACAGACAAAACTAGATTGCCATGCATGAATAGTCGTCAAAAACAGTGAAATCATCATACCAAATATAATAGCTAGAAAATCGACCTATTATTTCTCTCATTTTCATTGGTCCGTTTAAATAACTGACCGTCTTTTCTGAAATGATAAAAATTTCAAATTCTATGAAAGTTATCCTAATTCTAAAGCACAAAGACATAATATTACATCTATAATGTACCCTTATTTATAAGGCAACCGTTTTTTCACGACTTTATTCAACATTTCAATAGAAATCACTGATATTCAGAGAGCTTTGACAGCTTCCGTCAAATTGCGTTTTGATAAGGTCTTTTCCAATTGGTCCAACTGATGGTCAAATATTAATGTTGGTGAAATTGGCCGTAAGAAAAATATATTCTTGAATTAAAGTTTTACAGCCTTTTAGGCTTGAAAAAGATATAGCATTATTTTTTTTTTGTCTAACAGGAGAAATAGTATCTATTTAAGACCTTATTAAAAAAGTGTAAACTAGCCTAGTGTGAAAGCCGGTACACTACCAATAGTTGGAAAAATTCATTATGGTGAATCAGTATATTAGGAAATATGCCCGAATTTACTTTTTATATTTAAGGATTTTTTTCTTCCAGTCTCAATGCTACCAGAACGACAATAAAAGGCATAGTGTGGCAGGTACTTCGACTCACATACAGGGCGAACCTATTCACATGACTCTTCAAGAAGTGAGGCAGTATCTGCAGACACTCTACTCCAGTTCGTCGGACTCGTCTGAAGCACAGGAGAAAATTTATAAGCCCAAAGCAAAACTACTACTTACCAACAACAATAAATATACTGTAAATACTAGTATGGTGAGTGATTCTGTACCCATTATTGATCTTTTCAATGATTCATCTTAATGTCATGCGATGGTAACAATAGGCTACTACTCATATCTAATTTTATAGAATAAATGCGTATTTCTTACAGTATTTGGCTTAGGAAATCGGATTATATTTATTTCAATTGTAAAAGCGCAAAATGAATTTATAAATCCAATTAAAAAAAATATACTTTTTAATTTTAATATGAAACGGTGAAAACACTATCGGCAATCACGTTACGTCTCATAAATTGTAAACAAAGAAACGTCATCCTTATGTCACTCGTGGACTAGCGTTGTCTTCTTTAAATATGACTAGAAAACTCTTAATCAACATGGAAAGTTACCGTTTTGCCGTTTTATTGAAAAAAACACCATGGACGTTGGATTCGTAAACCCAGAAAGCACAAATTTTCGGAAAATTAACACATTGATGGTTTATAATTTTTGGCCTTCAACATAGATTTCTACCCTTCTTAGCTGAAGAACATAAAAATGTAAGTAAAGGGTTTTTCCATAGCTATGTCCGAAATTTGGCAACATCTTGCTCTGACATTTCAGGTAGCATTATCATTCCTCGATGTTTGTGTTCTGCCATACTCACTATTTTACCATGGAAGAACGTGTGCAAGAACGCGTCGCAATTGTTAAAATCTGTTATAAAAATTCGTGTTCTATTCGTCAAACTTTTCGAGATCTACGTAATATTTACGGCCAAACTAATCGTCCAACGGAGCGAACAATTTAACGAATTATCGCCAAATTCGAGTAAGATGGTTCGGTTGCTGATCGAGCAGTTCCTATAAGACGAAGAAATGCGTGATCGATCAAGAATATTGTTGATGTTACCGAAAGTGTAGCTCAAGACCCAAACCTTTCGAATCCGCGTCGTGCACAAGCAATTGTCCTGTCTGCGATCTTGTTGTTGTTGTTGTTGAAGATGTATTTAGCATAAATGCTACAATGTCAATTTTGTATAATGACTCGGTTACATATTTTTCTTCAATCGATTTTGTGTAATTTTACATTCTTGTCTATTAAAATTAAAATTACGACACTATGTATTTTGATTATTCACAAAGTGATTTTTTAATTGCACATTAAACATTTTTAAATTCGAACTCTGTTTAATATCATTATTCAATTTGTTAAATTCAAATACTCCATTTTGAAATATAGATTTACTAGTTATGCTACTAAAATGAATCCTCGTTCATATCCTCCTTGGTTTATAAAGGAAATTATTTTCAAGCCATTGATATTTAAAATTTAAAGAACTTCGAGCTATGATGAAAAATGGGGAAGAATTATTGTGTTATACACAATTTTTTTGGAATACATACTAAGATTATGGGAAAATCTATAGAAGTAATTTATCTTTTCCGATATTTTTGAAATAATGTATTTATAATGTTCGTGAAACAGTAGCTTACTATCCACATATATACCAAGATATTTAAATGACTCGACTACTTCAATTTTTTCCTCACTAATCATGACCCTAGTTGTATTGTCACCTAAATGTTTCCCTATTGACATACATTTTGTTTTATTAGTGTTTAATTTAGATTTATTGACATTTAACCAATTGATAATTTTTTCAATATCACTATTTAACGTTCTAAAGCAGTGTCCCAATGCTTATGTGCTATATATATATAAAAGTGTATAGTCCGCAAATATTTGAATTTTGCAGTGTTCTAAAATGTCAGAGATATCATTTATATAAATAATAAATATTAATGGCCCTAATTTACTCCCCTGTGGCACCCCTGCTGATTTATTTTGAACACTAGACATAATATTTCCAACTTTAATGTTTTGACTTCTATTTACTAAATAATTAAATAACTTGGAGAATTTTACGGAAAGGGCAGGTATCCATATAAGATCCAGTTGACGCAAGAACTGAAGCCCCAAGACCTCCAAGCGCGTCGTACTTTCGCTGATTTGGCTCTGGAACTGTTGGGAGCGGATCGATTTTGACAAAAAAATGATTTTCATTGATGAAGCACATTTTTGGTCAAATGGCTTCCTGAATAAACAAAATTGTCGCATTTGGGGAGACAGTAATCCACATCAGTATCAAGAGTCTCCAGTACAACCGGAAAAGCTTACTGTTTGGTGTGGGTTTTGGTCAGGCGGCGTCATTGGACCGTACACCTTCCGAAACGAGAATGGCGAGACGGTGACTAAACGGCGTCCGATATCGGGCCATGATAACCGACTTTTTATGGCCTCAATTGGATGATATGGACCTGAACGACATGTGGTTCCAACAAGACGATGCAACGTGTCACGCGTCGCCCCATTACATTGCAGTTGTTGCAAGAAATGTTTTCAGAACACGTTATTTCCAGAAGAGGCGATATGGAATGGCCGCCAAGATCGTGCGATTTAACGCCCTTAGAATTTTTTCTCTGGGGTTACGTTAAGTTGCAGGTTTTTGTCACCAAACCAACAACAATTCACCAACTGGAGAACAACATAATTCAAACCACTGGGGAGATCCAGCCCGACTTATGCAGCAGAGTTTTACAAAATTGGACCTCTCGGATCGAGTAATGTAAACGAAGCCTCGGAAGGCCATTTGAATGACGTTATTTTTACAACGTCAAGGTATTGAATGTACTTTAATACGCAATTAAAGTTTCCATCACATGTCGCACCCAACTCGTTTTATTCAATGAAATCCGAAAGGCTTTCGCGGCCATCATACAATGTTATTTGATAGGTTTGTGGGTAGTTAGGTAGTCGTAAAATATTTTTATTTGACGTTTCGCCATCACAAGTGGTTGGCATCTTCAGAAGGTGTTCACAGTTCGGAGTCCTGTGAGCTACTGAGCTCACTAGTACTTGATATTATCAATAAAATCTACCGTTTAATATGACGTGCGGTTCCTATATCTAAGATGACATCTTAGTCTTCTCCCAGGTACAGTTGAGATATTTGAGAGCTTTTCTGCGGTCTTTATATAGGGTATAATTTAATTGATTGCTGAAAATACAGGATATGATTCCTTACCTCATTTTAGGAAGAAAAGTTTATATGAACATATGTCCTAAACTTTTGAGCTGCAGGGTGTTAAAATTTTAAGAAAAAATCGTTTCCTTATCATAACTTTTTTTTATATACTCCAACTACCACGAAGGCCTAAACACCCATGGGGTACCGTGGGGCTATACGGGGATACAGGGCAAAGGGGGAACGCCACACGGACTCCTGGGACGGGATTCGAACCCGCACAGCGCACGGCGACTGATCAGGAGACCGAAGAGTCTACTACTGCGGCCACCGCTGCTGCTTAAACTTTAATACTGTTCTAGATATTTTCATGAAATTCGACATGCACCTACTAAGCACCAATAGGCATGTTTTAATGTATTACGTTTTTTAATATTTCAAAAATTTTATAGCCTACTTGGTTTTCATTTTCATATTCAAGTTAAAAAATCATCTTCTAGCAAATCACTTAGAAAATTTTATTGTATTGAACAATGAGTGCCACAATTATTCTACTAGAGGAAGTATAGACTTTCATTTACAAAACTACAGTAGCAATATAACGAGTCAGTATTTCAAAAGAGATTGTACGAATTTAATAAATTATGTAATGATATCAAGATGAGTGTCAGTTTGAAAATGTTCAAAGGGAAATTGAAAAAATATCTCATGGTAAACCATAATTCATAGTAGTGAAATTTTGAATAAAAATATGTAGTCTTGAAGAGATAATAAATTTTGTGATACACTGTGTAATATAGATATTATGGAAATTGTAGCATTAATGCTAAATAAATCTGAAACAAACAAAGTTCAAAGTCAATATTGATTAAAATAGCCAAAATGGTTTTTATTTTTCACGCGAAAACGGTGCATCAGACGGAAAACGTCAGGAGGTAAAATTTGTTGCAAAATAAGTGAGGATTTCAAAAATGATTTTTATTTTCACAAAAAAAAATGGCGTACCATGTTTTTTTAAATCTCCAGTACACATCCCGTACGGACGCCACTGCTAGAAATATTAAAAAATATTCTACATCAAAAAATTCCTATTGGTGCTCAGTAGGTGCATATCAAATTTGATGAAAATATCTAGAACAGTATTAAAGTTATGTTAAAACGATCTTTTTCTGAAAATTTTGACACCCTGTAGCTCAAAAGTTAAGCTTAATTTACACACTGTAGATGTGTTTTTACATTGTTGGACGACACAATAACGCTTACTACTATATTTTTTATGTAAACTAGTAGAAATCATATGACGTCATATATATGGCCCAAATATGGCGGACGGCGTTTTCGCCTGTCTCAGAAAAATATATTTTTAAGGTTATGTTTTAAGACCTTGTAGCATCATTGCACCAAGTGTTAAAACTTAGTGAGCAATTGCATTCCAAGTTTTGATGTGTTTTATTTTATGGGTCTTATTTCCAGACCTATTGTGTTATCGCCATGACAGTTCAAGGGGACATTTATATATTGCACGTTCATCGATCTTAAAAAGAAGGAAAAAACAATCTCATCCTTCTATTTGAACCACAAATATCACTCGAGCGTCAGTGTTGATTTGCATTCGACATTGACTCTATAGTCTGTCACTATCCTTTGGCATTTAACTACCGCTTCTGAGAATAAAATAGTCATTTTTATTGCAGATAAGCAAAGAAATGATAAATAACAGCAGTAGGTCGAAGAAAAATACTTTTCTTATCAATATAAAAACAAAAAAGTGAAAGATTCCTGTGATACTCTTAGGAAGCAGATAAATACCTCTCCAACAAAGAAGGAAGAAAAGAGAAAAAAGTCACCTGCAAAAAACGCTAGGTTATTTTCTTTCAAGCAGACGTTGTGCAATATGTTTAAATTTAGGTGAGTGTCAATATAATAATAATAGTACAGCCTAGGTTTCAGCCTTGCGTGAACTGAATGCAAGGCCGTTCCTTCTCTTGAAACCTCTTGCCTTGACAGTTTTGCACATGCGAGTGACAACAGAGTTACCAGAATCTTTGTGAAGGGAGTCTTGTTCGATTTGACGCTTTCTTAATGCTTTCACTACTTGGAAAGTAGGGTGCTAGGCATTTTGGTTTCCATGTCTATAGATGTCACACTCCATCAAACATTAAATTAACAATAAATAACGGAAGGTACAGCTCGTCAAGTGTAGGAAGAGATGCGAATTTTTGAATAATGTCACAGTAGCTAGCGGCTCAATTCGATGAATCAGTAGTCTCTTGTGGTGTCTAGACTAGTTATCGTACAGTCAGGAGAAACATTTTCAGGCAGTGAAACAACCTTATTAGTTATTATCTGTGTATTGTTACGAATTCGTGGGTTGAATACATACAAGTTCACGCTATTCATTGTCTATTCCTTGGTGAGATTTACTCGTTTATAATGGATTTTAAATCCAAATTACAACGTAAAGTTTTATCAGGATAAACTAGGGAGGTTGTAGCAAATGTTATATTCTTTATGCAACGAGAAGCAGAATGAAATAAACCTCTTAAGGATTTGAAGAATGTTCAGGAGCGTGCAGCCATGTCCACGAGAGTTAGTCTATCGACTATTAGGAGGATTTCTCGCGAAATGAAATCTGTTGAAGAAGGTGCTTCGATATCTTTTTCGACTCCAAACAAAAAAAGACGAAGAGCCACTCCGAAATATGATTTCGACGACTTTGATAGAGGATTGCTTCGTCGATCTATAATGAATTTTTACATAACGGAAAAGAAGTTTCCAACTTTGCGGCGCATACACAGGAAATTTGTTCAACAACACAATTACACTGAATCACATGAAACTTTAAGGAAAGTGATGAGAACAATGGGATTTCGTTGGACGAAGGCAAGACCTAATAGAAGACTTCTTATGGAGAAACCAGAGATTCAGCATCTCTGAGAAGGATGCGTCGACTGTCTGTTTTTCATTAACCGAAATTATCCACGTCGGAATGGAGGAATACATCCCTCACACAGTGAAAGCTCCTAAACCGGGGTCCAACGGCGGGTTCAACAAATCGTGTGACACTGCTTGCCAGCAGAAGATCAAGGCCCACAGAACCTACTTACAAAACCCCAAAAACCCCACTGTAGAGAACAGACAAGCCGACGTCGAGTCCAGAAACAGATATAATGAAGCGGTTCGCAATGCCAAAAACCAGCATGATATAAAGTTAGGCACAGGGTAATGTCGCAGAGCAATGGCAGTCGGTCTTTCTGGACGTTGGCCAAGCAGATTAAAAAGAACTTCTCACACAGTAGCCTTCCACCACTTACATGTCAGGATGGAACTATTGTATTCGACTCAAAGGCCAAGGCGGAAGTGCTAGCCAAGATCTTTGCTGCCAACTCCACCATGGACGTCCCCACCAACGCCCAAGTGCCGTCAATTCAAAGGGTTCCCCACACTATGCGGGAGGTAACATTCAGGCATAAGACCGTAAGACGAGTGCTCTTGTCGCTCGACATCAACAAAGCTTCTGGTCCGGACTTGATTCCTGCCATTGTACTGAAGAGATGTGCAGCGGAGCTTGCTCCAGTTCTTTCGCGTCTCTTCCAGATATCTTATGAATCCGGCACCTTCCCAGAAAACTTGAAATTTGCTCATGTACAGCCCATCCCAAAAAAAGGATCTAAGACCGACCCTTATAACTACAGGCCTATAGCTTTGCTTTCTGTTATAAGTAAAGTGATGGAGAGGTGCATAAATCGCGAGCTTCTGGACTACCTCGAGCGTCACAGCTTGATTAGCGACAAGCAGTACGGTTTCCTGCACCAACGATCCACAGGGGACCTCCTAGCTTACGCCACGCAACTGTGGAGTAAACTCATCCAGTCTCATGGTGAGGCTCATGTCGTTGCTCTTGACATCACGAAAGCGTTCGATCAGCTGTGGCACGCTGCCCTCTTAAGCAAACTTCCATCCTACGGCCTCCCAGAAAAGCTTTGCAGATGGGTGGCTGACTTTATCTCTGGCCGCAAGATATCCGTCGTAATTGACGGATTCTCCTCTTCATCCCACAACGTCAACGCGGGTGTTCCCCAGGGATCGGTCTTGGCTCCAACACTGTTTCTCTTACATATGAACGACCTCCTTTCCTGCACGATCAACCCAATCCACAGCTTCGCTGATGACAGCACTCTACATGCAGGAATTCAGAGTGACAAGCCGATCTCTGCCGCTGAGCTGGAAAAAAGAAGACTAGCGACGACTTCTTCTCTGACAAGAGACCTGGAGGCTATCACTGCTTGGGGACGCAACAATCTTGTACAGTTCAATGCTTCCAAAACACAGTACTGTACTTTGACGAACAAAAAGTGTCCTAGCGCTCATACAGTTTCGATGGACGGTCGAGTTCTACCAAAGAGCCATTCATTTCGGCTGGTCGGAGTCCAGATCACCGAGGACCTGATCTGGCACGAACACATCTCTTCAGTAGCTGCAGCTGCTGGGAAAAAGCTAGGCTATTTGTTTAGGGCTAAGAAGTACTTTTCTCCGCATGACCTTCTCACTCTATACAAGGCCCAGATAAGGCCTAGCCTTGAGTATTGCTCACACATTCGGGGTGCTGCCGCCCCGACTACATTGTCCATGCTCGATGCTGTCCAGAGGAGGGCGGTCCGACTGATCGATGACTCTTCTCTAACAGACAGTCTCGGGACTCTTTCGCACCGGCGGGTCGTCGGCGATCTAGCTCTTTTCTATCGCTACACCAACGGGCTTTGCTCCTCAGAGCTCTCTTCCATGATGCCACCGCGCGATGTGCCTGCCAGACAGACCCGCCTGACTTCGGCGTCCCATCCTAACCGTGTCAAACTTCGTACATCCATAACTGGCCGATACGACCGCTCCTTTGTCCCGAGGGTGTCTAGATTGTGGAACAATCTACGGGAGGAAGCTTTTCCCAGTTCTACTAACCTTAGGCAGTTCAAAAATCGTATTAACAAAATTTCTTTGGGATCATCATAGCAGCCGCGGTGTTCCGGCATTTAGGCTTCTGCCTGCGCGGCTGTTTCGATATAAAAAAAAAAGAATATAGAGAAAAAAATCGTCCCATAATTTATGCATATCTGAAATTTAAATCCAACAGTAAGTCGGGTGATTATCATAGTGAGATGAACTATAGTAACTATAAAAAATGGTTTCAGGATAAACTGATTCCCAACCTACCACCAAATAGTGTTTTGGTTATAGACAAATGTCCTAGTATGTACTCTAAAAAGGATCATATGAAAGAATGGCTGAGGCAAAAAAACATACATTTCACTGACGACATGTTGAAAATTGAATTCTATAGTCTTATTAAAATGCATAAGCATATTGCATATAACTTAAGAAATAGACGGAATAATGGCTGAAAAAGGCCGTTCTGTTCTGAGATTGCCACCATATCACCCCAACTTGAACTCAATTGCGTTGGTATGGGCATCTTTGAAACAATATGTGGCTGAGAGAAATGTAGATTTTAATCTCAAGACTGTCGACAAACTTTGCGACGACTTTGAATGGAAAAAGCGATGTGAGCATGCCAAAGGGTTTGAGAAGCAGTATGTGGAAATGGAACCAGCACTCGACTTAGTTGTGGATCAAGTAATAATAAACCTAGACGAAGATATTGATAGCGAAACCGAGTGTTTAAGTTTAAGTAGTAGTTCAGATTCTGATTCCGAACTTTCAAGATTTGATCCTCTGTGAAACTTTATAAATCCTTAAAATATTGCCAATTGTGTCTACTACGACGTTAGTTTTCTGACCTTACCTTTCATTTGATTGTTTATTATTTGAAATTATTAACAATTAAAAACAGAATGAGTACCAATCAATTCTTATAGCTACATAGAGTGCAATACTTATTTTATGGAATAAATTGTTTTGGTTTCCTTTTGACACATGCCAATAATTTCGATTAAAAAAATCAGGCTTCACATAATAATAATCCCAGCAAATTCTCATATCTCTTCCTACACTTGACGAGCTGTAATAAGTAGGTCTTGGATCGAAACAAAGCCCAGCCATCATGAGACTCGTGTCACAGTTATAACTAAATATTGTTAAAAAATGTCGCTCGTTGAGATGCTCCATTAGTTAAAAATATTCCAGGAGATATGTTTCACCGGAACGTATCAGCAAAAAATCGTATAGCAATAGCAGCGACAATGTTTTGGAAGACTCTCATAACAACATAACGAGTAGAGCATTGCCACCTTTGCCTATGAGGCAAGAGACTGAAGACAAGAAAGATAATGAACAAACGTTGGACTTCGCTACTAGCATACAGAGGGTAAAAGATGTAAGTAGTTTGTGTTATTCTCATGGAATGACTTGTCTTATGTAGGGTGTCCCAGCAGTCGACGTCAAGCAGAAACGGGGGATAGACCAAGTCATAATGGTTATCAGAAAAAATATAAAAAATCGAAGTCGTATACTTTTCAAATTATAGGCTTTAAAAAAATTCGGAAGAATCTACACCCTGTGATGATCTTTTAGTTACCATTACTACAAATTTGGGGAAGAATTATAGTGTTATACACATTTTTTTGGAATACATATTAAGATTATGAGAAACTCTATAGAAGTAATTTATCTTTTTCGATATTTTTGAAATAATGTATTCATAATGTTGAAACAGTAGCTTACTATCCACATATATACCAAGATATTTAAATGACTCAACTACTTCAATTTTTTCATCATTAATCATGAGCCTAATTGTATTGTTACCTAATTGTTTCCCTTTTGACATACATTTTGATTTATTATTGTTTAATTTAAGTTTATTGACATTTAAACAATTCATAATTTTTTCAATACCACTATTTAACAGTTCTAAAGCAGTGTCCAAATGCTTATGTGCTATATATATATAGCACATATATATATATATATATATATATATATAACAAAAATAAGAAAATAATGGGCAAAATCCGCAAAAAGTGGATGATAATTTACTCTTTATATATATATATATATATACACCTTGGGAAAAAACATTATTATACATTATGATGAGGAAGAGAGATGGAAATATACAAAAGTATGTAAGTGCGTGAAATTCACTCGATTGTAGGATCCTATCTGGCAGCGTCGGAGTGTGACGGACAACGGGGTAAAGTAGAAGAGTGATAAAAGAGAGATGGCAGAACGGGCGCTGGCGCCTACTGATTAGACGGATGCGCTCAACAAATGCGATTTGTTTCTCCCATTCGTAGAGTTGCCGATACCAATATGTCATATTTCTAAGAAATCTAAGTCTACCCAAATAGCGGGAAAAATAGCTGCGGATTCCACATAAGAGTATTCCAAAAATGAAAAAAGTTCAAACTATTAAAATTGTATTAATGTTTCATGGTTCAAATCATATTTTTCATGTTTGTATATTGTTGTATAAATGATTTTGGAATCCCTATTCTTGTTGCCAGTATTGAGAGAAATCATGGACCGCTAGATAGGGCTACAACTATCATATGACTATCAAATAGTAGTGATAAACAGGGTTTGTTTATAGCACAGTTGCCTTGTGTGGCGAATTTGCGCCATAGGGGCGATTTGACAACTTTGAAGGACAACTATAACGGGTACTATGGTGCCCGGTATTCGGGAATCTGGCAATACCTGATGATTCCTAACGTTTATTACGCCAGATTATTTGCTGACTTGCGCAGTACAACATGACAATCAACGTGACTGAGCACCTGGTAACCCTGGTTTAAATAAAACGCAATAATGAACACAAATGTTTCAAATGGTCCTTCACAGCTGGGGCTCAAAAACGTCTCCTTCATTCAATGAACAGTATGTCAGGCGGTTATAAAACTCCTGACGAACTCTCAAGAGGGTAGAAGACTGTATTTCCCCGAGCGCTTCAACGATTTTCACTTGTAGGTTATGCAAATTGTCTGCTCTCTCATTGAAAGTGTAAACAGTACTTTTCACATAACCCCACAAGAAAAAATCATTGGGCGCTAGATCGGGTGATCTAGGAGGCCATTTTATTGTTCTGTTACCGCCAATAATCCGGTGGCCGAACACACTTTCAAGGTAAGTGTGTACGATCGCCGCATTATGCGCCGGGCATCCATCTTGTTGGAACCAAATATTAGCGAGATCAATGCCAAGCTGCCTAATTGCAGGAACAATCTGCGTCTGTAGTAACGCCAAATATTTTGCAGCCGTAAGAGTTCCATCAATAAAGAACGGTCCGATAATGTTATTACCTAGAATTCCTGCCCACACATTCAGTTTCTGTGGATACTGCGTGCGGACGGGAATACTGAGGTGTTTATTTTCCCGAGACCAATACCGAACGACTGAAGGATTGTGATGACCGTGGAGAGGGAATGTGGATTCATCAGTAAACAAAATGTTACCAATAAAACTTCCATCCCTGTTCGCCTTCTCCATGACCGTTTCACAAAACTCCATTCGACGGTATTTGTCTAAAGGAAATATTTCTTGAACCGTTCCAACCTTGAAGCTATGATAGCCGTTGCGATGCAAAATATTTCTTGTTGTTCTGGGTGTGAGATCGGCTATTGGTACCATTTCAGCAATTTTTCTGCTTGAGCATGACTCAGATACTTCTGCAGCGGCACAAACAGCAGTTTCGATCTCCTCCCTTTTCTCGCTAATTTTTGGTTTCCAACCTTCAGGGTGCATGCAGCTATGGCACTTATGTAAGCAGCCCACCCTCTTGAATTTTTCGTAGGTATTTATAACCGTTGCGTGAGACGGAATTGGCCGATCTGGGAAGCGTACCGCAAATAATTCAACAACCGCGCGTGCTGAATTATTCTGGATGTACCATTCTATCATTTGAAACTTTTATTCTTGCGAGTACATTTTTAAGATATTTTGGATTAAATAAAGACGCACCTTTCCTACACAAAACCCCACTTGACAACGGCACGCGCGTTAACGGTAGGAAATATGTACGAATAGCGATGATAGTAGACGAGCCGATGCGCTGTTGCCAAGAAATGATTTCCCATGTATAAGAATGGTTTTTCCTAAGGTGTATATATATAAGTGTATCGTCTGCAAATATTTAAATTTTGCAGTGTTCTAAAATATCAGAGATATCATTTATATAAATAATAAATAGTAACGGCCCTAATTTACTCCCCTGTGGCACCCCTAATGATATATTCTGAATACTTGACAATATTTCCAACTTTAGTTTTTTGACTTCTATTTACTAAATAATTTTGTAAAATGTGTATTACTGATCCTTTAAAGCCATAATGACGCAATTTCATTAACAATTTTTCCCTATCTATAGTCTCAAATGCCCTTTTTGAAGTCCAAAAATATTGTTACAATATATTCTTTCTCAACTATACTTCCAGTCTTCCACCACCATGTGGATTGCCGTTTCTGTGGAACATTTTTTTCTAAATCCAGCTTGGTTTTTTATCAAAATTTTGGTTTCTTCAATGAATTCTATGATTTGTTCGTATATTATCCATTCGAACAGCTTCTCGACATCTGGCAAGACATTAATCGGTCGCATATTTGTATGCAGCTGAGAATTTTGAACTTTTGACACAGGATTAATGGTGGAACACTTTAATTTTGATGGGAATTCACCATGTACTAAACAATGATTCACCAATAATAAGATAGATTCATGTAACCATCTTAAATGTCAACCCGTCAGTCCATAAAATTTATCTGAAAATCTTCCGGGTGCCTCTGTAACATTGTTTGATAAAATTCAACTCTTGGAATAGAATGGATCAACAATGACTTTTTGAAAGAAATGGAAAAGAAAGACGAACTTTCTAAGCCAATGATTAATAACCCTACAATAGAAAACATGAATAATTATAAAAAAACTAGGAATAAACTAACTAAAGGAATCAAAAGAGCTAAAAAAGATTATACTCAAAAAAATATTTGGAAAATGGAAACAATTCTACATCACTATGGAATGCCTTGAAAGCAACGGAAACAAAAAAGAAAGATACCACAATTAACTTGATGAAAGATGAACAAAATCATATATTTAAATCAAAACAAGAAATCGCAAACAAATTTGCAGAATATTTTTCTAATATATGTGGGATACTCAGGAATAAAATTAAAAAAAATCCACGTATGGTCTTTACAGAAAAAATATACCAAATTTGTTCTACTTAACGAAGTTATTAAAACTATAATAAACTTAAAAAACAAAAAATCGCCAGGTAATGCCGCAGAAACTCTAAAAATTATAGCTATCTATATAGCTAAACCTCTTACATTCATAATAAATTGGATTTTTGAAACTGTTAATTATCCCAGTGCATTTAAAACGGCTTTAATTACACCAATACATGAAAGTGGAGATAGATCAGAATTGATTAACTATAGACAAATTTCTGCTATAAAAAATTTGGCGAAGATATTTGAAAAGATCATGAATGTACAACTAGATCAGTTCATTGAATTTGAATTCAAATTAATATTTGATTCACAGTTTGGCTTTAGAAAAGGTGCATCTACCAAAGATGCCATGAAATTATTAGTAGGCGACTTAACTGAAAATATTGATAAAAACAATACAACAATGGCTGTATTCATCGACTTACAAAAAGCATTTGACACTATAGATCACGAGAAACTATTGAATAAATTAGAACACATTGGAATTAGAGGTACGCCACTTTATTTCAAAATTATTTGCATAACAGAAAACAAGGTTAAAATTGAAAATATAACTAGTGAAGAAATGACTATAATATAAAGCCAGAACTTGGACAACATTAAAAGAAGAAATTAAAAAAGATTTCGTACGCATTTTAGACTGCCATCTTCGTTGGGATGAACATATCCAATACATTAAAAAGAAACTTAGATTTTTGTTATATAAACTCGGAGATTACAGACAAATTTTCAATGAAACTCAATTAAAAATTACATATCGTACATTACTTGAATGCCACATCACCTGTGGAATTATTATCTGGGGATCCACGAATAATAACCATCTGAATTCTTTACAAATAATAAAAAAAACAATTCATAACAAACCTTTACTATATCGCTCCAGTGTTCAAAACTTTTAAATATAAAAAAAAAATTGGTGTTATACTAGAATTCCGTAAAAACAAACATTAGACCATTTATAAAAATTAAGAACATGACACTAGAAATAAAAATAAACAAATAATTGTTGCAACGCCAAAAAAAGAAATAACGTTGAAATATTCATATATACCCAGGTCCAAAATTATATCATAAATTACCAAAATATATTAGAAAAAACCGAATATCATTGTTCTTTTGATTCGGAGGGCTGTACTTTTAGACACCGTACTTGCTTCTATTTGACGTACTGGGTTTTTTTCGACTGCTTGTAGTACGAGTACGACGTCCTCGTAAGGAAAGGAAATTCTTCCTTCACCATGTGCTTGGTTTGGGAATCTTCCGTCTGAGATTAAATTGTTCACATTCCCAAAAACCCAAATTAGGGTACCTGTGACGATAAAACCTAGATGCAGTACTAGCATTGCATCTACATTCCCCACAAATGCATGTTTCTGCATGGTGTTCACAGACATGGTGGCACTACAGAATCACGAAGTAATAAAAGTGGCGTAGAATGACCCTGTCCGTCAAAATTTGAAATTTATAGAAATGGGAACTTAAAGAGTATCATAGGGTGTAGATTTTGCCGATTTTTTTAAAGCCATAATTTGAAAAGTTCACGGCTTAGATTTTCTTATATTTCTCCGACAACTATTGTGGCTAGCCCTAACCCCCGTTTCCGGCTTGACGTCGACTGGGACACCTGAATGTATGTGTTACCTTTATTACCCAACAACTTAGGTGAAAATTACCTTTGGTGCTTCCTTTTCTCTTAGTGTACTTTGGTACATCAAAGAATCATACCTTGAATTTCGACAGTAGATCTGCTCAGTTTATAATAGTTGAAGCATACTGCAATATTGCCTTTTATTTCAGTATGGTTGGTACTGGGGTCCAATCTCAAGCGAAGCAGCAGAAAAAATATTGTCCAACGAGCCTGATGGGTCGTTTATAGTGCGTGATAGTAGTGACGATCACTACATTTTTTCATTAACGTTCAAATTGAACAATTGTGTTAGACATGTTAGGATAGAACATGATCAGGGTAAGTTGTTCAGTATTATCTCTTATCATTTTTAATAGCTGAGTAGTCAAATTCATTTTCAACTATACGAAGGGTACTATAGTACTTTTCACGGTTTAAAGTAAAACTTCAGGAATTTCGTTGATACATCCATCTCTCTTATACATACACATGCAACCTACCCTTGTGTGTGGGCGTTTGTTCGATCAGCTCAAAGACATACGTTTTTTAGTTGTGTGTATCCTTCTCGAAAACTTTGTCGTTACGTATGGGTGTCCTTCAATCATATTTGTAAGAGTGACAACTTCAATATAAAATTGTACAATGCCCGGAAATACGAACAATGGAGAAGGCCGACAGCTCGTGCTAAATTTATTAGAGTATTTCCAGGAAGAGAATGAAAACAGCGGTCCCCTGTTACCCACTTCATGCGTACTGGAGAGAGTAGCAGATGCGCTGAAGATAAAGATCCGCCCATGGTACTGAGACTCGATCTGTTTACTTATTTCATATGGCGTTGATTACGTAACCGCCAAGAACGGTGACCACAACTATATAAAAGTTTTGCCACCGGATTTAAATCCCATCGAACATGTGTGGGATATGATGAGAAGACTATCCACTTTGCATCATCCGCCACGGATTCTGTCAGAGCTAATCCTCGAAGTTCGAGTTGCTTGGAATGAGGTGCCACAACCAGACATCGCTCATCGCTCTTTGTCGATGCCTAGTCGTATACAGGAGTGTATTCAGCTGCGGGGTTGCTCAACACATTATTAATTTTTTTCTTATTACTTGTCAATGAAATTTCGTAACAATATTATCATTTCATTCTTGATGTAAGACTACCTCATTGCCAAGGTGAAGAAATTATTTTTTCTGGGTGTAACACTTCTGATGTCACTGAGTATTTTACTATTTTTGAGAATAGGTTCAGTTACGGCAGAGTAATCGTCAAAACTGATGTTCATTGACTTTTCTATTTTGCAAAGCACCAATTCCATTGCGAGAACATTTTAACATAAAGTTTCCACTATAGAGGATGAAAAACCTTTGTAGGTTTAAAAAATCTGTCCAGTGGTTCAAAGAACAAATATTCTAGAACTTACCGAGGCTTCGTTTTTGTGATTTACCGAGATTCTGACATTTTTGGAAGAGTCAATAGATTTAGGAAATAACAATTCATTTTGGACTACTTTCAACAAGAGGTAAATCTGAGGACAACTTGTTGCTCCTTTAAATTATGAAATATTTGTTCATCGTAATGAGTTACGTTACTGAAACAGTTTGATACCTGCATCACTAAGTAAAAATCCATCAGAAATTCAGGTTTTTTCCTTTTCGATGACACTGCTACCCCTAGGGCTGATTGTACGTTGTTCCTCGAATTTACAGTACCCAGTCCAGTAGTATAGTGTTCTCTACCAGTAGGTACAATTTTGGTTTTCCAAAGAGTTCATGTTTTTTTTGTGATCGCACTCACATAAGACATATAAATATAAGGCTGATTCTGTCCCTTTTCCTCATTGCCTGACGCTGAGGTGTCCATCATAATTTTGAGCAGGTGTTCTTTCAGGCCATTGTGTCCTGTTAGAAGGCCTGTAACCTACACTGAGTTGGTTTCTACTCACTGAGAGCAGTTCCGCAGCTGTATTTGGACATCGTCTTTTCCATGCCAATACATATTCCTTGTGCTGGTTTGTTACCCTTTCTTTGACATGGTTCCTTATTGTGGTTTTTGGCACCCCCAAAGCAGTTTCTGGACCTGTAAAGGGTGGGGATAATCCTTTCCTTTGACATCAGCTTGCCCTTTCATTTCCTGTGTAACATGAATGTCCTGGCACCCACATCAAAGTTATCTTCTTGTGTTCCGCCAGTTTGTTCAGTTCTTTGAACGAAGTCAAGAAATAAAGCTGTATGGCAAAACTTTTATAGTACCCTTTGTATAATGTGTACTAATATTTATAGAAATATTTTGAGTTATCAGCAGATATCTTTTTGTAAATTGAGCCGAACAACTGTTTATTTTATCGCACTTTCTAAAACAATTCAATCCCCGTTGAATTTGAAAGATAACGGATAAACGGATTTAATAAACTTATTAAACAAATTAATTGCTAAACAAAGTACGTTACATTTTTATGTATGGCATTAATTCGCGATTGTTGTTTCCAGGTAACTTTAGTTTTGGAAGTTGTACAAAATTCAAGTCTCAGACTATTGTAGAATTCATTGAGAATGCGGTCGAGCATTCACGCAGTGGTCGATACTTATTTTTCCTTCATCGGCGGCCTGTGATTGGTCCCGTTCGAGTCCAGTTGTTGCATCCTGTTTCGAGGTTTAAGCAAGTGCAGAGCCTGCAGCACATGTGTCGGTAAGTCCGTAAACTAATGATTTCAACATGAGATACCCCCGAAAAATGTCACATACATTCCACGTGAAGCAGACACTGAAAAAAAGTGAGGTTTTAAATTTCGTCCATAGTGGGTCTGTTTGAGCATCTAGTAGGTGCGACAGAGAAAACACGTTTTTTTTTCTTGACACGTTGATTTGCTCTAAGTTACAGGCTTCGAAAGGGAAGCCGTTCTTGAAATTAAGATTTTTTTCGTAGAATTTTTTCTAATTTGTTTACGATTTATTTAGCATGATCACTACAATTACATTCTTTCAAAAACTACAACAATTACATAACATACAAATATTTAGAAAAACAAAATTTGCATCTCTAAGAATTTTCACTGTCCACGAAATGTTCCTTTAATTTTCTTTTAAACATCTTTAAATTACGTAAATTAAGTAATCGTTAGTAGTAAGTACTCACTTCTGAAATACTGATTTGCTACTTATATTACTTTTGCAATTTTTTAAATGGAAATTTATATTTGCTCTTGTATAATAATTATGGTAGTAATTATTCAGTTCTATGTAATGTTGTAAATGTTATGGCAAAAGATTTTTTATTTTAAATATGAAAATTAGAACAAAATATGATATTAAATTTTTTATACTCCACCATTGCAATTCTTGTAACATAGATTTTATTTTTATTCAATATTATTCTCATAGCTTTTATTTGTAGAATTTCGAGAATAGATTTTCATTGGCAGTGAACAAGATAGTTGAAAAAGGTAGTAAATGCTTTGGAATAATTGTATCATAAACTATTTTTTTTGGGGATGTGTCTAAGACACTGAGAAGCCCTATAAAAGTTTTTTTAATTTTAAAATAATGTATTCATAGTGATCCCCAAACATTACTATCAATATACAGGGTGTCCCGAAAAAAGTGTGCAATATTCTACCAGCGGTTTCTAGAGCTTAAAATAGGAAGAAAGGTTTATATAAACATAGGTCCACAAACGTCCCCTAAGGGTGCTACGGTCCTTTAAAGGGGCTCCCATGAAGATGGTTTTTCCTTAACATTTCCGAAACGTGTTGAGATAAAGACATAAAATTTGGTACTTTAGCCTAGTTTTTTATGATGGATTTAAAAATATCAACAATTTTAGACAGTTTTATTTGGAAGCGTATCTAACAGGGACGGACTCAGGTTATTTTAGCCCCAACATTTTTGTGTGATTCTATTTTTGAAATTCAATTTTAGAATTTGAAAATTTAGGGTTTTCTATATAAAAAAGGGTATTCTTATTGAATATCGATAAATTGTGCCATTTTTGAATAAAATCAAACTAAAAAATTTGTCACATGATAGGAAATGTACTACGAATTTAAATCAATTGTTGATTATACATAGTTAGCATGACCTCAAACAAAAGTTGTTTTGATTTGTTATGCCTTATTTTGACGTTAAGCTGACATTGTTAGCAGTATAAAATTTCTAGATTAAAATCAATTTTTTTATTAAATCGATTTAAAATGCCAAGATTTACAGACAGAGAACTGACTGACATGCATTTTGTGTACGGGTTTTGCAATGGCAGTTCATTGGCAGCCGTAAGAGAATATCAAAGAAGATTTCCTAATCGCATAGTACCTGGACGTCGAATGTTTACTGATATTCACCGGAATTTGTCAAACCATGGAAGTTTTCAGCGCATGCAGGGTTCAAGAAGGCCACTGGGAAATCATCGTATGAATATTACTTTAAATATGTTTGAAAAATAAGCATACGAAATGTTTCAGGAATTATGGATATACCTCGATCAATAGTAACAGAAACTTATGAATACCTATTTGATAGTTATCCTAAAAATAATAATTTTAGATAGGAAAAATGACGAGAATGCAAGGATTACATCCTTATCATTTTAAACGGGTGCAGCATTTAACGGAGGCAGATTTTTTACCACGAATCGAGTTTTGCCAGTGGATATTAGCAAATGAAAACACTATTCCTAGAATATTATGGTCGGATGAGTCAATATTTACTAGGAATGGTGCTTTTAATTTCCATAACATGCATCACTGGTCAGATGAAAATCCAAAAGTTGTTCGCCGAACAAATTTCCAATATAGATTTTCATTGAACTGATGGGCAGGAGTAATTGGGGATCAAGTAATTGGGCCTATTGTACTTCCCAATCGTCTTAATGCAGAGGTGTATCTGAAATTTCTTCAGAATGAGCTCATGTAATACCATTGGATGTGCGCCAGCAGTTTCAAGAAAATATGTTTTTTCAATATGATGGCGCCCCTGCACATTTTGGACGCAATGTTCAAAATTGGTTGAATGTCAATTTTCCAGACAGGTGGTTAGGCCGAGGAGGTCCTATAGCGAGTCCGCCACGTTGACCTGACCTAAATTCATTGGATTTCTATTTTTGGGGGTCATTCATAGTTTACTCGACTGAAGTAAATACTCAAGAAGATTTACTTCAAAGAATCCATCAGGCTGCAAATGAAATAAGAAGAAAAAGGTTTTCCACTTTTCGGGCTACGCAGTATATCCAACTGTATGTCTTCTTTTTTAAACAAATTTCAATTTCGTTCGTAGAAAAAATTTATTTCTTTTGTTTTTGCCTAAATGTTAGCTATGTTGCAATAGAAATATGTATTTATGTAATATTTACCAATTATTAAATTAGTTGTTTCGTTGCCATGGCTAATTATTCAACAATTCATTTAAATTCGCAGTACATTTCCTATCATGTGACAAATTTTTTAGTTTGATTTTATTCAAAAATGGCACAATTTATCGATATTCAGTAAGAGTACCTTTTTTTATGTAGAAAACCCTAAATTTTCAAATTCTAAAATTGAATTTCAAAAATAGAATCACACAAAAATTTTGGGGCTAAAATAACCTGAGTCCGTCCCTGTTAGATACGCTTCCAAACAAAACTGTCTAAAATTGTTAATATGTTTAAATCCAGCATAACAAACTAGGCTAGAATCCCAAATTTTATGTCTTTATCTCAACACGTTTCGGAAATATTAAGGAAAGACCATCTTCAGGGGAGAACCTTTAAAAGACCGTAGCGCCCTTAGGGGACGTTTGTCGACCAATGTTTATATAAACTTTTATTCCTATTTTAAGCTCTAGAAACCGCTGGTAGAATATTGCACACTTTTTTCGGGACACCCTGTATAAAAAATAATATTTAGTTGATTCAACTTTTTCAATTATTTCACCATGTATCCTAACTGAGATAGTATTTTCGTTTAAGTATTTTTAGCATTCATTTTGTTTTAGAAGGATACAATCTTAGTTTATTCACATTTAACGGATTTATGATTTTTGCCAAGTCGGAATTTAGCATATCTGTGGGAGTGTCTATATTTTCATCTGATGCATTATATATACTAAGTGACATATAAATCAGAACACCCAGTTTAAATGGTTTTATTTTAATAAAATTTTGTATAAGTACTTAATGAAGCATAACAAGTAAATGATAAAAATTTCAAAATGATGGCACTGCTTTAAAGCCCTTTGACCTTTAATAATGTGTGGATGCACCCTGATGTGCTACGCATTATCCAACGCGCCTAGGCATGCTTCTGATCAGGTGGTCAATGTCCTCCTGTGGTATCTCATTCCAGGCAACCACCAACTCCTCTCGAAGTGCTTCTAGAGTCTGAGGAGGACGTTGCAAATTGGGCAATCTCCTACCCACCATATCCCACACGTGCTCAATTGGGGATAAGTCGGGAGATCTTGGTGGCCATGGTAACAATGTGACATCATTATGTTGAAAGAAGTCTATTGTGACTCTTGCAACATGTGGTCGGGCATTATCTTGTTGGAAAGTTGGATCTGCCAGGGTGTCAAGATAGGGTAAAAGATGGGGTTCTAGAACTTCGTGGATATAACGCTGCGCGTTTATGTTACCTCTGATGAAGATTAAAGGTGACCTGGAACCATAAGCTATAGCACCCCAAACCATAACTCCAACAGTGTGATGAACATGTCTTTCAAAAAAAAAACTGTGGATTCCTCCTTTCACCACGTCGCCTTCTAACGCTGGCACGACCATCGTGCATGCCTAAACAAAATCGAGACTCGTCACTAAAGACAATACTGTTCCATTCCTGATCCCAGAGTGACCGGCGATCTTCACAGTCTGTTGTTCTACGGCGGCGTCCAGTGCGCCTTGCTCTTTGCGTACGGCCTTCTCGAAGCCATGCCTGACAACACCTAACCACAGTGTCTACACTTCTTTGCACTCTAACTGCAATTGCCCGAAAAGGAAGTCCAGCTTCCCGAAGTCCCACTATACGGCCCCTATCAAACTCACTAAGTTGACGAAATCGTACAGGTCTCCGTACTCTAGGCATCGTAACCGATCGTAAAGGATGTCAAGAACCAAAATCCGCCAACGTTGATTCTTTACTGCGGCTGAAATATTCATTTTTAGAGCGTTAGTGAATTAAAAAAAAGCAGTATAAAAACCGGAATGTCCAACTGATAAGGCTGAACATTTTTTCACTTGTTATTTACAGTAAGATAAATACATTCACCAACTTTTATTAAAATAAAACCATTTAAACTGGGTGTTCAGATTTATATGTCACTTAGTATATAATACGTATATCAATGTATCACCTGCAAATATCTGAATTTTGCAATAATCTAAAACATCACGAATGTCATTAATGTGTAAAATAAATAGTAGAATTTCAACAAAGATTCGACATTTGCCATATGAAGGGCTTACTCCTAACTATATTTGCTCTCCCTTTCCTGCAGATTCGTAATCCATAAGAACGTTCGTCGTGACCTCATTGCCCATCTACCCCTACCGCGGCGGATGATCGACTACCTGAATACCCCCCACTACTACTCGGAGCACTTTGCCGCCGATTTTTCAGCTGGAGACGAAGATTGCCCCGTTTCGATGTCTGGTAGCAGTTCCAGCGATTCCCCTCGACCCCCTCTTGAACCTTTAGTTGAGAGTGGCACTCCTCCTGTGACAGGGGTGGTCAGCAACTACGTTGTAGTTAGGAATGGGGGTAGTACACAACACGCAAGAGAATAATACGAGGGTGTATCGAGGTTTGTGTATTCTAGGCCGAAAATACAGATTTCTTCCGCAGGTACATACTGAAACAGTCCGACGGTACCATTAATTTGGATTTCACTTATGGGTGTCCCAAAAGTATGGACACCACCAAATAACTCTGAATCTAAAGAATTTTAAATACAAAAGTTGTAGGAAATCAAATGGCGCACCTTGAGGTGCATTTCAAGGGCAAGTGGATTTTTTCAAATGGGAACCTCCCAAAAATAGAACGCCAAAAAATTCCATTTCAACGGTATAATGTACTAGATATAGATGTTATTTCAAGTTCAACTGTTTGAATGTTGAAAAGCAGCGGATAGCTGGAAAAAAGATATTAAAGAAGCACTTTCAATTCGAAAATTCCAGGACACACAACAGCACGTCTGATGGTGACCTTCATTCTGACCTTGGCTAAGACCTTGACGGTAAATTCAAGTCAAATTTATTTTGTCACATGGAAACAGGACAGATAGACTTTGCTAGTGGAAAAAGAGATCTTGGACTGATTCTTCAAGATATTGAGGGAATACTATTTCATACTATACTGAAACAGTCCAAGGGTACCATAAATTTGGATTTCATTTATGGGTGTCCCAAAAGTATGGACACAACCAAACAACTCTGAATCTAACAAATTTGTAGGCAATCAAATGGCGCATCTAGGGGTAACTTTGGATTTGACATTGACATCCACCTTGCAGTTCATTTCAAGGGCAAGTTGATTTTTTCAAATGAGAACCTCCCAAAAATAGAACGCCAAAAAATTCCATTTCAACGGTATAATGTACTAGATATAGATGTTATTTCAAGGTCAACTGTTTGTATGTTGAAAACCAGCGGATAGCTGGAAAAAAGATATTAAAGAAGCACTTTCAATTCGAAAATTCCAGGACACACAACAGCACGTCTGATGGTGACCTTCATTCTGACCTTGGCTAAGACCTTGAAGGTAAATTCAAGGTCAAATTTATTTTGTCACATGGAAACAGGACAGATAGACTTTGCTAGTGGAAAAAGAGATCTTGGACTGATTCTTCAAGATATTGAGGGAATACTATTTCATACTATACTGAAACAGTCCAAGGGTACCATAAATTTGGATTTCACTTATGGGTGTCCCAAAAGTATGGACACAACCAAACAACTCTGAATCTAAAAAATTTGTAGGCAATCAAATGGCGCATCTAGGGGTAACTTTGGATTTGACATTGACATCCACCTTGAAGTTCATTTCAAGGGCAAGTTGATTTTTTCAAATGAGAACCTCCCAAAAATAGAACGTCAAAAAATTCCTTTTCGGCGGTATAATATCATAGGGGCTAAATCTAGATATAGATGTTATTTCAAGGTCAAATGTTGGAAAGTTAAAAAACAGCGGATGGCTGGAAAAAGGGTATTAAAGAAGCACTTTCAATTTGAAAATTCCACGACACGCAACAGCACATCTAATGGTGACCTTCATTCCGACCTTGGATAAGACCTTGAAGGTAAATTCAAGCTCAAATTTATTTTTGCACATGGAAACAATACAGATAGTCTTTGCTAGTGGAAAAAGAGATCTTGGACTGATTCTTCAAGATATTGGCCACTAAATGCAAGACAGGCTAATGTCCTACCAGTGAAGGCGAGCCAGGTTGGCGTGCAGTATTCGGCCAGTAAAGGCAAGACAGGATGTCTAAAAACTGTTTTATTATAATTAGTTTTCTCCGTTTTGTGACTTGAGTATGTTGCACCTTGTTCACGTTTATTTTATATTTCAAAACATCTTGATCGCATTTCCAAGAGAGACCTAGAGTCTTAGTTTCGTGATCTTTGTTTGCTGAAAATTCCACAATATTTGGCGAATATTCGTTGCCTGAATCATTTGTTAAGTTTTTACTATTAGATTTCCACTTTCTCAGGTCAAATCCCCGCTGGAGTAATATCCGTGAAATCTGATCTTTTATATAATTAGCTTCATCTTCAGTATTCACACAAGTTAATAAGTCATCGACATATCGTTTCGGATGATCTTCGATATAGTTGGGTGCTTCGCACTCATCAGCAATTTGATGTAAACATCTGATCGCTAAAAAGGATGCCGCTGTAGTTCCGTATGTGACGGTATTCAATTGAAATGTTCTAAGTGGTTCATTGGGGTTTGAACGCCATACAATTTTCTGTAATGTAATTTACGCTGATCAGGATTCATCAATACTTGTCTGTACATCATCTTTATATCACTAGACAGTTCAACGAATCGCAAACGAAATCTAATAATGATGTTGAAAAGATCTTGCTGAATGATAGGACCTGTCATCTGTAAATCGTTCAAAGATAAACCGCTAGATGTAGGCGCCGACGCATTAAACACAACGCGCAATTTAGTCGTGCAGCTGGATTCTTTCAGCACCCCGTGGTGCGGCATAAAATATTCCGTATCATCCTTTTCATCGCACGTGATGACATATGTCCCAAATTCGCGTATTGATCTAAGAAGTCTGTATATAACTTCCGGAATTTTTCATTGGTTATTAACTTTCGTTCAAGCGATATGAATCGTAAGTTTTGCCGGAGAGTCCTTAAGTAGAAGAGATAATATCTACCTTCTTCAGAAGTTGTCAAGTGGATTACGAAATGTTCTTCGCATAAAGTCTCTTCTCCGACCAGGGTTTTTTTTATCTACTTCCTGAACTTCCCACAATTTAGCTAGTTGATCTTGGATCAAAAGATTTCTGGTCAACCCACAATGCGATTTTGTTGTAGGTATATCTGTTACGGGTAAAGTTAGAATAATGATTAAACTTAGGTTTACCCGGGTAAACTGCACAATACGCAGACAACATGGGTAAAGTGCAAAATATTACTGAAATTGTAAATGTTTCGAACTTTACCCGGGTAAACCACGTTCTGTCCACTTTCGTGTGGTTAATGTTAAAAAATAACGCCATAAATGTTTTAAAAACACATTTTATTGAAAGAACAGATTTTAAAAAACAAAGGTTACACTGAAACTGTATCCTAACAAAGTACAAGATACTAGAATCTATTTGTTTAAACAAGATAAGCTGTTATGACATTTTGAGTTACAAAGATTTCCAATAGCCTTACATTTACACTTATTGCTTATGCATTTAGTTTTACAGTTGCATCGTTTGTAACCTTGACCTCCTAAAAGAGATTGTTAGTTTGCAAGTTGTCGTGAAGTTTCCATATCTACAAGTTTCTCATTACATGGTTGGTTCCTGGAAAACATCTCCTCGATAGTTGCTCTCTTGTTTGCTAGCTTATAAAAATCGTCGTCAGTTTTTTTCGATTACTGTCATGAGAACATTTCTAAATTCACCCCTCCCTCTATCAACGTCTGGAATTTTCACTCTCACTGTATCTCCAACAGAACATGGCGGAAACTTTGAATTAGACAAATCTTTCATTTTCTTTGCTAGATTTTCTAAATTTCGATTTGCCTCTAGTCTGTTTGACCGTATGTTTTTTTTGCACAAACAAAGTTCACAACATATATTCCTCGATGTACTTGGTTTGTCATACTCTGAACATTTCTAAGTTTCCATATTACCAGCGTTTTCTCTATAATTGTTGTTGATATTTTGCATATTTCCATCTTCAGTAATCTGTTCTTGCATGTTATCTGTTTCTAGGTTACTGTCCATAGATTGGTCTTCATTTCGTTCTTCTTAAAGCTCTTCACCTACACCAAATTCCTCCACAACTTTCTCGAGCTCTTCTTCGGTTCGTACATTTTCATTAGCTTCTTTTGGAAACGCTGATGTGGATAGGCCGAGTTTAATATAATGCCCAAACATGGCAGCATAAGGAGCTTGTTTTATCCCGTCATGGTATGTCCTATTTTTCATTAACTGGACAAATCTTATACCTTCTGACCATCGCCTGCAGTTTTCATCATCCATCCACGTCATAAGCATATTTTGTATATCTTGATTTGCTCTTTCCACGCTGCCTTGTGACTGACTATGACGTGGTTTGCCATGGACTATTTTAAGGCCACTCCACATTGTACATAACCATTCAATGACACGGTTGGCCAACTCACGGCCGTTGTCCGATTGTAGTATGGATGGGGCGCCGAAAATACAAAATATGTCTATCAGGCTCTTAGCTACTTCCTCAGCCCTTTTCGGTGTTAATGCACGTATTTGAGGCACAGAGATAATGATATGCTTGGATGTCGTTGATTTGCGCATTATTGTGAATCATAGATTCGAACATGTCTTTAAAACCCATCCATTTGGGCAGTTTGATCTCGGGTAACTTAATACCCTCCATTGCGATCGGTTTTTCATGTTGAGAAGAACAAGAACGTATAGAATTGTTATCAAAACTTTGTAGTGTACACTTCGCGTTTGATATTATAGTGTAATATTTGTTTTCGAAGTCTTCCCGGACTGTAAACTGTTCCTCTACGTCTTCTACTTCACATTCAATCTGGGACTGTACTCCATCAAACCCAGAAAGTAGAGCTTCAGCGTTATTTATACGTTGCTCCAATTCGACTATCCTTGACTTGCCCCTCGTATCATCATCCAAGCTTTCAAAATCGAATATGTATTTCTCAAAAAGCGTCAATTTCGCATTAAATACATACACCGCGTCGTCTTATCAAGGCTCTAACATCAGAAACCTCTGATTCAGTCATCGTCTTTACGTATATAAATCGTGAATAAAGTGCAGAACATTCAACGAAATGTGTGGACTGTATGGACTGTACTATATAATGTATCAATGAACGTGTTAAATAACATAAACGACTTGAAGTATTTAATGTACTAAACGAATTAAAATATGCACTAGAGGAAGCAACGTATTAAATGTGCACTAGGGCAAATAATGTATTAAATGTGCACCAGGGCAAATAGTGTATTAAATGTGCACTAGGGCAAATAATGATTCGTATTTGAGTCAATACTGAATAGGAAAGTGATAAACGTTCAACGTATCTTGATCGCTGCGCTCGGGGAAAAGGGGCTGCTTGGCTTCCACCGGCAGTTTCTCTTTTCAGATGAACTATTTCGTGTTTTCCATAGATCCCAACAGGCTCGAAGGTCCATGTTGCGTGTTGTAGAGAAATAGGCACTGGTTCTAGGTTTTGGGTTTATCCAAAGTTACAATGCTAATGTGATTTTGCAATATAAAAAATGATGCGTATGTCTGTGACCAAAACGGCGGCGTCTTCATGTGGCCCCACTCCAGCGATCAATGGCACTCAGTGGCGGGACATGTAGGGCGCTTCACGTAGTGGCAGGATATGAGGTTTACGGAACACACAGTTTAACATTTTCTCCATTTAATTTGACAAAATACTCTATTGAAATATTTCTGGAAGAAACCTGTTTTTTTTTGTTTTCTTTGGATATGACCGCTTTTTAGGAATTGTTTTTTTCAAGAATATAAATATATTTTTTGTTTATCATAATCGCCCAAGTCCCAAAATGACTTGAAGATGTCCAATTCCTTTTTGTCTTAGCTGTTCCCAGCATTTATTCTTGCCGGTACATGGTGGTCCTAACTCTCTAGCGTTTACTTCAATTCCCTTGTGATTCTTGTAACTGTGAACCAAATTCCTCCTAATTTTTGTCATTTTCTTTTTTTCTCTATTCTGTCATTGGTCTCTTCCATCTGGATGGTTTTGATTTTTCTGGAGTGGGTAGGATCCCTCTTGAGGTTGTTGGAGTAAGTGGGTGATCTCAATTCCTGCATTATTGTAAGGTGCCCCTCTGTAATAAAAAGTCTGCAGTTTTTCTTGGCAACAAAGTGACAAGCCACACAAAAAACAAAATGTTATAAAGGCAAAAGGGGATAGACCACCTTTTTTAATTTTTCTACGATATATATTAATATTTCTGGGGCGTATCGTTGCACTATGCTAAAAATATATTCTTGTAATACTATGGTAACTCACAAATATCCTAACTTCAAAAAGAAAGAAGAGTTTTCAAAAGATAAGCCACAAAAATACGCTAAAAAGGAGATAAGCCAAATTTTTGTTTTTCTTACCTGATCTGTCGAATCTTGTGAGGAATCACTGCTGTTTTCACTTTCCACATAATCTTTGTCTTTAATACTAATGTCTGATATCCATTACATCACCACTTTCGCTATAGGAATTGTTATAATAATACCATTTTGACTTCACTTCATGTGCACGTGGCACCTCCATGTTGAGAAATACCTGGCTTACCTGGCTACCTTATTGCTTGGAACATACCTGAAATTATTTTCGCGAGAGGAACAACATTTGCAAACTGTAGCGACATCTATGATCCGATTCTTATATTTTGTCAAGACAAGGATATGGGTTTCTAAAGGTGCCTTCAGTATTTAGCCTAATGTTCACCAAACTGTGGCTTATCCCCTTCTTTCCCCGAGGTTTTCAATTAAACCTTTGAACATTAATTTTTTTTGCTAGGATCAAAATGTAGGGCTCCATTTGACCTTGAATTGACAGTCAAGGTCAGAATGATCATTTCAAATGTGCCGTTGGGTGTCCTACAATTTTCGCATTAAAAGTTCTTTAATATTCTTCCTTCTCCAGATATCCGCTAGTTCACAACATTCCATGAAATAGCAACGATTGACCTTGAAATAACCTCCAGATGCAATGTTAGCTCCTATTATATTTACACCGTTGAAAACAAAAAATTTTTTACTTTCTATTTCTGCAATAAACAGTGGGGATTCCCTTTTGAAAAATCAACTTGCGGTTGAAATGACAACGTACAATTCCAACTAGAACCGCCATTTGATTTCCTAAGACTTGTGTAGTAATTAAGTTTTTTCTAGCGCCCTTTCCGAGATATTTGGGTGTGTCCATACTTTTGGCTGACCCTGTATATATGTTTAAACAACCAGTTATTTCGGCGATTCTAAAAAACCAAAACTCCCTTGGCAACAAATAATTAACATTTTGCTTGCTGTTTTTCCCTACAAGACGAATCCTTCCTTGGTGGTTACGTCATTATTGCCATACGAAATAGCAAGCAAATCAGCTAACTGAACCATGTGCTGTACAAGAAAATTGAGCACTGGACACATGAATTGATTAATAAAGGGCTACTGCTTTCATTCACTTCCTCAAAATACTCCAATAATTTTGGCAGCAAAAACTATCGATGTTATCTGTTGTATTTCCAGGTACGTAGTAGTTTACGTTTTATATTACGTAGATCAATAAGGGGTAAACTCAAAATGGTGCGCACATGTCAATTGGGTTGTCTCGCTGACAGCGACAAGCATATATTAGGAATACTCATACTTTGGTAAAAAAAAAAAAACGATTTGGCCAGACGAAGGCAAAGAACTTATTTATAGAAAATTATTCTTCTAATGACCCTTTTTATATAAATTTCTTGTAATTAACTAGATTTGGAGTCCAAAGAAACAGTTTCCAGTTATAAAGTTACCTGCGTTTCGACAAAATTTATTTCCTTCTTCAGGCATCTACAAAAAAAAACACTAACTTTACATATATAACGGGTGCGTCATCTATTACTTTTTTCTATTTGAAAAATCAACACGCTTTTTACGAGGTGAAATCGTATTTTTTTATTGATAAATTAAGGATGCTTTATGCCGTTTATGTATAAAAAATAACATCAGTCATGTGACCACCGCGACTTCGTTTACAGGCCAACTTCGGAAAATCAAAATTTTTAATAATTTTTTCTAGAATAATCGGGTCTATGGCCGCAATTTCAGTCCGAATATTGCGCTTTAGGTCTTGAATTGTCCGAGACCATGCGCTTACACGTTTCCTTTCAAAAATCCCCAAAGAAAATAGTCAAGAAGTGTTAAATCGCACGATCTCGTGGGCCAACTGACATCTGCATTTCGTGAAATTATGCGGTCTTGAAATTTCGTGTGCAATAAGGCGATTGTTTGGCGGGATGTGTGAGCCGCTGCTCCGTCTTGATGAAACCAAAGATCGTCGGCACCAAAACGATCCAATTGTAGCCACAAAAAGTCTGTTATCATGCCGCGATAACGTTCCCCGTTGACGGTAATGGGCTTTTCTTCGGCATCTTCAAAGAAGAATGGTCCAACGATGCCACCAGCCCATAATCCGCACCAAACAGTCACTTTTTTAGGATGGAGAGGTTGTTTATGATATTGGTGTGGATTTTGAGCCCCCCAGAATCTGCAATTTTGCTTATTTACGTACCCATTGAGGTGAAAATGAGCCTCATCCGAAAAGAGCACTTTGGCCGAAAATCCGTCTTCTCTTTCCAGCATCCAATTAACAAAAACACGCTGCTGTTGATGGTCTGCCGGCTTCAATTCTTGTGTTAGATGGATTTTGTATGGATGTAGGTGTAAATGAATGTGTAAAATCCGGCGTAACGTGGTCTCACTAATTCCCAATTGTTGCGAACTGTGCCTAGTCGAGGTGGTTGGATCTTCTCGCACACTTTCACTCACTGCGGCTATGTTTTCACGGGTAGGAGCTGCACGAGCATGTTGGTATGGTCTACGACCTTCAGCTGAACCAGTTTCCTCAAAACGATTAACAATACAACGAATTCCAGGCTCTGTAGGGCGTCCATGTCGGCCAAAACTAGTGCGAAGTTTGCGAAAAGTATTTCGACCGTTTTCTTAATAAGTTTGGATAACCAAAATGCGTTGTTGTGTTGTAAACGAATCCATGACTATAAATGGCATACCTTTGACAGTTCATTTATGCATACCACATGACTTTTGACTCACATGGTAACACATAAACTTAAAGGTAAAAAAAGTAATAGATGGCGCACCCAGTATTAATTAACAATTTAAATAATAAAATAGGTGAAATTATGTGAAATTGAGAGGATTATTTGTCACACAAAAAAGAATCATGTGATTATTTTTTGTAATGAAGCCACTTGACTGCTGCAGAGAAATTTTTAAGTCAAGGGAAATTCTTACCGTGTATTGCACTTTCATTTGGAAACGCGTAACCTATGTTAATAAGTATAATAGTTTATTCCCAAATAGCAATGTTTATCATGAGTACAACATTAGGAATCAACATTTGAAAATAGTCCGGAAACATACTAGATACTTTTTTAAATTGGACCTATAAAACCATCTTGCGCTTTTAAAAAATGAAATCGATTTATTTAGTTTTTCTAAGGTAAATACTGTAAGAAACACTCATTCTATTAAATTAGATGAGACATGTAGCCTATTCAGGTTCATAACTGTGGCATATTTTTTTAAATTATATCCAGTTGATATATATGCCTACATCTAATGAGCCAGATTAGATTATTTTCAAATTCATAATGATACTAGACCATTTTTTCTGTTTTTTTTTTGAACTGGGGATATTTGAGTATATAGAATCGCTGTAAATAATTTTGGTAAATTACAGACTAATGCGGTAGTTGTTGAAACGGATGCACGACAAAATGTACCATTTGAAAAAATGAATGCACTCATTTGAAGGACATCTTGTCGAAAATCATTATTATGATTACCTCAATCATAAAGCGTGAAAGAATATAATCATTGCTATTACAAGTTCTCTATGGAGGGCAAACAATAACGTAACAAGCTTCAAGAAAATACCAGGGTAACACTTCATAGACAAGGGAAAGATTTCTATACGGCCTCACCCTTTATGATTATTATTAGAATCATTTTATGGTCGATTTTTTCGGTCCTTTACGGGAACAAGCATTGTGAAGTTAGAGTAAGTAAAATAATTTTCCTTGCGTATAAGGTCGTAATTTTTGTTGATTAAGCATTGAATATGTTCGCAAACATATCAAAACATTTGCAGGGCCAAACAATCTGATCTTCACCTCTGAATTAGTAAACCGTTTTAAGTAGGGTATTAAGAAAGTGACAATCACAGCCAGTTGGGCACTTTAATACATAAAGAACGTGTTTTGCTGTCTAGATGAGGTATTTTAGACTCAAAAATATTTCTTCCTAAATCTTCGGCCATGAAATAAAACATATACAGGGTGTCCCAGAAGTCGAAGTCAAGCCGAAACCGGGTGATAGGCAAAGTCATAACAGCTATCAGAAAAATATTTAAAAAAATTTTATGTATGTGTTTTGAAAATTATAGGTCTTTGAAAAAAATATAGAAATTTTACACCCTACGGCAGTCTGTCAACTCCTGTTACTACAAATATTAACTTTTTTTGGATTTTATTTTTACAATGTAATGATGAAAAATGCATCTTCAAACTGGTGTCTCAACCTTACTGCCAACTTTCCTCGTTCAGGAAAAATTGCCACTTATTTCCCAACCAAGTATTGCAAAGTAAAACTTTGCTCAACTTTAACTGGCTGTACTGGAAAAAAA